GTGCTGAGAGGGCGGCTCAGACCAGGAGATGGGCTGCTCAGGAGCAGCGGCAGCTACGTGAAGAGATTTAACCGAAAAAGGGATGGGCAAGTTCAAGGTGCAATTCACACCCAATGTGTTTGAAATGTGCTACTGTCCTTGCACGTCTGGATCATAAGACACTTGGCTCTCAGCAACGAGATGGGAAAGGTCTTTCGTCACGGAACAGGGTCTTCGGTGGAGCGGGGCGCACAGCTCCTTCGGGAAACGGACTGTGTAGCTCCGCCTCGGATCCTGAAATTGCCACTTTATTTACACAAAGCTTCTTCAATGGTATGCTTCTGAGCTGCCTGGCAAGGTTATTCAACTCTAGGGGCAGTTATTCACACGGCTCAGATAACTGACCTGTCCAGTTAACAGATCACTGCTTCATGGTGTTTATTTTTAATTATTTTAATTTAAATACATTCTTCAGTAGAAACAGTTCACACACACACACAAAAAAAACCATTTCCTTGATTTTAAATATACAACTTTTGAATAGGTTATATCGCGTATCAAACCAAATTTCATACTAAAAGCATCACATTTTAAATTCTGTACATAACAGGAAGCGCACTAGTCAAAAGACAGATATGAAATGTCATTTCAAGCAAACACTAGGGTCAGAGCTCAAGACAAGTATTAAAGGTTTACACTTAAAAGACTACGAACAGGCTTAATTCAGGCAACGTATGATTCAAACAAGTGTTCCTGATGTACCAAAATGTAAGAAATAGTTTATTTTCATGCCTCCCCGCTCCTAAAAACGTATGTTTTGGGCCAAACTGGCAACTATCCCGATGCTAAACATATTCTGGGTGTATCTGGTGTCATTTTTCTATTAAGACCAAGTATCACGTTTGTGTTTGTAAAGTAGTAAATCTTGCCTTGAAATCAGATCTTGGATGCACCTGTTTTTTTTGTTGTTGTTGTTTTTGTTTTTAGCCTGAGATCTAAAGGTTTGGGAAACCGTCTTTCTTGAACTTACTCCAAAAAGCCTGGGAACCAATATTCAATGACAGCTTGCAGATATGTGAATTTTAAACACTCTCCGGTTGGGTTGGAAAAGGCGTAATCACTAGCTGAATTTAATACTGATTTTATGCTTGAGTCCGCAAAGACATTAACAGTTTTCTTTTTCAGAAGATCAAGCTGTACATCAGTTAGTTAATTTGAAACATGTGAATAGAGACACGGATAGTCTGTGGTTGAAGATTACTGCCTGAGAGAAAGAGAACTGCACTGACGAGAAAAAAACCCAGCCTATCTGGTCTCAAAGGAGATGCGCTCAGGGAGCTCGAGATGTGACTTTTGAGTCTTTAATGGCCGCGCGGAAGCACTTCATACCTAAAGGGTGTTTAGGCCAGGAAGACAGAGCGTCCGCAAGGAAGTTAGCAGCAGTAGCATTAAGATGTCACATCTGAGAGGTTCTGACTCTTTTGTGGTAAAGTGTTACTGAGGGATTTTTAGAGAATTTTCCGAAAGTGAGTCTTGCCAAAACTTACTAAAAATCATGGTAGAATTGCTTCTTGGGAATGACTCAAGTGCATTGCAACACCGACTATCAGCAGTAGAGGAAGCAGCAATTGAAGAGCTACTGGTTGGCTTTGTTTTTAAGAATAAAGATTAACAGACTTAAGTCACACCAGTCACAGAAACCAAAGCTGAATTTTTCAGTGTGAAAAGGCCAAGTGGTAAACTTGAACACCACTGTGGGGAAAATTGCAAAATGCCCAAATAGATAAATGATCAGCTGGATGGTTGGAAGTTAGAATAGTTACAGGAGTTATATAAATAGCTTTGGTTTAAAAGGGAGGGGAAAACATCACTTTGACATAAGCCCAAGGGTTAGGGTTAGTAGATTAGACTGATTTGGTGATATTTGCTTTCTGAGGAGTTTTGGAAACACACAGAGTGACAGAACCGTGTGGCCTGTGTGATGCCTGGGGGGCCATACAGTTAGTGTGTACATCCTGGCAAACACAAGCAGGCCCGCTTTTTAGAAACTGCCCAGAGTTATGGCCGTCATTCCAGACCAGGTTGCAATGAGAGACAAGTGAGTCTCCAGTGAGAGGAAACCGTGCTGGGCGAGGAGAAGTGCGCACAGGAGGCATTAAGACTGAGAATCCCAAGTTAGGCAAAAAAGGTTAAGAAGAATCTCATTGGCTCCAATCTTTAATATTATGGAACATTTTAAGTGGCAAATTCATTGCAGTTCCTAATCCTTTTGTCCTGATAAATTTTTCTTAACACATGGGTTTGTGCTCCAAAGACTAAAAGACTATGTGCACAGCTAATAGTCCCTCATCAATAAAACACTCTGTTGCCTTCGAGAGGAACTCAATAGCATCCGTCCTTTGAATTAAGCTGTGAGAACTCAAGGAAAAAAAGGTACTTGTCTTGCTTTCAGGTCTATAAAAAAATATATGCCTTTTTTGGGTACTAACTTTCAAGTTTTTAAGGGTATCATTTGGCACTGTGTTTATATTTCCCTTCAATCATTTTTAAGGTGGATCAAACATATATGCAAACACCTAAAAACTGACCCACCAATTGGAACATGATCCCAGTTTCAGGTCTGGGACTTTATCATTTAAAAAAACATAGACCTTTTCTTTACTTGAATTTGGTCCAACCTGGATCAAATAGGGCGTGATCTTCTAAGAAAGGTCTTTCTTGGTAGCTTACTCTAAGTATCCAGAAGTGTACCTCAGAATACTTCGTATTACTCGGCTGGCTCTTCCCCCACCAAGCACTCAGTAAGACACTGCTTTGCCCACGAGATGGCACCATTCTCACATTCAGGACTAGGAACCAGCCGGCTCCGGGAAACACCCTCCATCATGAAAAGAGCGGGTGCCACCTTAACCATGTGGCCCTGTCTAGCTCAGCCTGTCCACGCACACTTAAAGGGTCACCACCAGGCTGGCTCTTTAATATCAGAAACACACAAAGATGAATACAAACAGGGAAAAGAACCTCGATTTACATTTTTGGGAAGGTAGATTATAAACAACAGCAAAATCTCAGGGTCTCTAACACATCAGGCCATCTGAAATATAAAAAGGCAATTGTTTTACTTTAGAAAATAGCTCTGAAAGTTCACACAAAAAAATTTGTTTTAACCTACTGCAGGACATTAGCTAAAATACAAGTCCTGCAGAATTTGGATGGGAGAAAAAAGCTTTACCAATATTATGAAAATACTTATTATTATGAAATGTTTTCAAGGGCTGTGAACTTGGTGGATGAGACCACAAGCACCAATACTTTAGGCCAAGGACACCTACCAGATGCAAATTCAATATATTTACAAGATGAAGTAGAAAAATCCTAACCATGTTATCACAAATGTGGGTTCACCACTCGGGCTACTGAAAGTAAGACAGCTGTAATACGTGTATCTTACTGAATAGCAGGAGCTTGTCAGAGAATACTCATAGAAAAGCAGCTTGTGAAATTCATTATAGAAGAATGTATGTTTTTCAAAAATTACTTTTGAAAGACTAAAGCTCTATAGTTGATAAAACTATAAAATGTCTGTCTATATGGTGACAAAAATTGCCAAAGGCTCTATACTATTGAATGCACATATGAAATTAACATCTTCCTGGCCTGAGGATTCCCATAAAATTTCCTTGGTTTTTTTTTTTTTGGTACAATTTGGCAATGCCAATGGCTACAGAAAATATTATCAACCAACCAACCAACCAACCACTGTTTCATTAGAAACTGCACCAAATCCAATGTCAAAAACATTACTTTATTTTTCTAGGATGAAATGTCCTATTACGTACAAAAAGAATTGCTGTTTAGAATTTGCCACAATCTGTTAAAAACATAGCAATCTATTGCCTACAGGTAGGAAAGTTCTTGCCGCAACAAGTTTTAAATGATTAAGCCCATATATATCTATATCTCTATATATATATGAATAAATAGTACAGAAATACTGTGACGTGATGAGATGCAGTATAATTTTATAGTTCATTAAATTGTAGGACTCTTGCATCAGCACAGTGCATACAACAGGTAACATTTTTTTGAAAAGTAAAAGGACAAAATAACCTGTATTTGACTACTTCCATGTTAGTATTTTAAGCAAAAACTGTTTTCACGTTTTCATATTGAGCAGTTAGTCTCTTTAGGTTTGTAAGCAGAGGTTTAAGTGACATTTGTATGTACAAAAAGGAATGGGCTTCATGAGATAAAATTAACCCAGAACAGCCTGCACACCTGAGTCTGTAATAAGGAAGAACTGGGCACCGGAGCAACCTCTTTCCTTTAAGAAACTAAGGTCTGGGAAAGGTTTTGCATAGCAGGGTGAGATTAAACACAAGGAAACTTTAAAAACATGATTAGACAAATTCCAGAAACTGTTAGGACAAAGCTAATACGAATCAGTGCAAAATCTAGTAAAATTTTTGCAAAGCTGCACAAACCAATTATGGCAGATGTTACAGAAGCGATTATCACAACGCGGTAACACAGTGTGGAAGGTTAGAACACCGAAAGGAAAAACATGCAAAATAGATCTTCCTCTGTTGTTTCCATCTTTCCCCCTACTTGCTTACATTACTTTTTATGTGGAAAAAAACAAAACCCCAGAAATCCAAAGAAGTCAACCAACAAACAAAAAATACAAAACGGATGAAGTCATCTAAAAAATGCCCTTCATAAAACAGAAGCAGCTGTCTGTAACTGCTAATCTGCCTGGTATGATACAATGTACAGATGAGGGCAATGTGTATTTTGCCACATTACCTGTTTTATTAGTATGATCAACTGATGCAACAGGATTAGCACCCCTGAAGATTTTTCTTTGATGTAGTGACAGTGGGCTGGGCGCTATAAAACGAAGGGCCACTGCTGTCCTGGAGAAACCCAGGTACAATTAGGTTCGTCAGCCTTGTGTTTACCTGGCGGCCCTCCCTTTCCCCTCAAAGGCTTACAGACAATCATTAGCGCACATTCAGAGACACCGTCTGTGGGAGAAAAATGATCTCCATTTATTTTGTTTCATATACATCCATAGTTGAATTTTAATACAAAAAGAAAAAAAAATTAGAATCTGACAAATGTTTACAAACAAGATACCTTCAAATAGATTTTACTCAGTTTCGCCTGGTGCAGAGTAAATGACAACTTGTACTGTTATATTCAAGGCAACAGAGTCTGTAGTCCAGGACCACTTAGCCCAGCCTTTTTATGCAAGCTTAGTTTTTATCTACCATGAACAATAAACTCATTGTTGATTCCCAGTTGTGTGTGTGTGTATGTGTGCATATGTGTACATAGCAGCTCCTTTCATAGAAAGAAAAGACATCTAGAGGTCGTCTTGTACTTTTACCTACAGGAATCATGATAAGATACAGAATGGATTACATGTAACCAGGGCTGGATTTTATAAGAAAAAATAATTAGCTGACAAATGAGGGCAGCAATAAAAAAGCGTCTTTTTTGCAACAATAAATAAATACAGTCAAAAGTTTTCTGTGAGACTCTAAACCAGCTTCTTCACTGAAGAGCAGACGTGGCATTTCCATGGAGTTACACTTGACCCCATATTATCTTTTTTTCTTGCTTTCTTTTTTCTTTTTTTTTTTCAATAAACAAAGTTTTCCCGCTTCTGCCACAATAGTAAAACCATTTGATCTTGACAAGATAATGGTGTCGTTGACTTTGCTTTTCCCTTGTCCGTTGGACAAAATTGGCCAAGAATATAATTGGACTGTTATGACCAATAAAAACGAAGTTTAGGTCAAGTCTTGTCAGGATAACCTGACTAAAAACATCTGGCTCCTTAATTTAAAATAGTTCAGACAACCAGACTCTTGCTGTGTTTTATGTTAGGTTAACACGCTGAACTTTAAGAAGCTGTAGACTGCAGTTTGTTGTTATGAGACCTACAGAATACAGAAAAAAGGGAACAATTAAGCACCCTTCATTTTTGAAAACAATGATGCTTTATGTGGATGCCAAGGTCAGTCTGTCTGGGAGAAGAGGCAGCCATGTTCTTTCATTTACCCTTGGCAAGCAAATATATGAGCAAGTAAGAAATTGTTAACCTATAATAGAAATTTTCACTGTACACTGAAACATGATAGCTCATTGGAAAAAGCCATTATTAAAATATATATATGTATATATATATTCTCATCTAATAAAGATTATACATTTTTAGCCAATGGGACAAATAGAAACATTTACAGAGGCACTACCATTGTGGTAAAGGGGTGTGTGTGTGTGTGTGTCTGTGTGTGTGTGTACACATACATGCTTATTTACACTGATCTGGGGAATATGAAGAAAAAATTGTATTTAAAAAAAAAAAGAAATAGCAGTATTAAAATCACATTTTTCTATTGAAGTCCAGAAAGTCTCCTCTCTAGTTTCACAGTTTTATTCACAACTTTCGTTAGTAAAAACCACACCGCTGCACTGCCGCCAGTACTCAGGGTGCGGTCTACTGCGGCAGGGCGGGTAAACACAGCATCCCGGAGGTTACAATTCTTAAGTACACTGTTCAACATGGCCGCTAGAATAAACCATTTACTACTGTACATATATTTTAAACATTAAAACATTAAATTAACTAATATGAACTTGGGGGGGGGTTTGAATTAGGTAATCACGTGGAACAATAAAAGAAAGAGTGACCCCAACATCCAGTTCTGATTCCAGTTAAAAATTCAGACTAAAGATATCAGAATCTGTAAGAAAAGAAAGAACATGGATGGTATAAATGATGAATTACAACAAAGCACAGTAATGAAAATAATGTGCAAACAATGCTGGAGATCATAAATTAAAAATGGGGAAAATATGGCAATGGAAATACCGGAAACCCATAAATCAATCACATTTCAATGAATGGCTACATGTAGGTTTCAGTCTGCCTTAAACCTGGAAAGCAACAAAAATTCCCTGAAATCTCACATTTCAGTTTGTAGAATTGAGAAAATTTGTCAATTTGCTCCCACATTCCGTAATGAATATCATGTGAACTCAAATAAAATAAAAAGCTACAAAAAATAACCGGGTGACAAGCTCTCCTACGTGGCCCCGGACTGTGCAGACCCAGCCCCTGGACCTGTTCTTTCCCCAACTCCTTTGTTTTGCCACAGGCCCGCAGATGCTTCCTCCTCCCTCACCGGCAGCTGCTGTCGTTCCCACTCTGGGTTCTGCCTGCAAGCCCGGAGCAGGGTGGGATCCAAATCCCCCAGCTTCCACCTCACAGTTACCACCAAAGTCTAAATAAAGCCTTTCCAATGAAAAAAAGGCAACTGTAGAAATTTATTTGGAGGAATCACTGCAAGAGGTGCGAATACAAAAGCAGGGAGAGACTTAAAGTAAGTTGTGGTCCTCTTATCCCAATATTTACTCAACCCGAAGTCCAGGCTCCCTAGGATGAATTACTCTGAACATCAGTTCTTTGGTGGTAGATTTCTTACACTGCCATTTCTTGTTTTATCAACTTCATATTGCTTAAATCCTGCTACAGCAAATGATAACTAAGCTTACATAACCATTTTCCCACTTCCCTTCTTGAATCCAACTTTTACTTCTAATTTTAAATTAAGTCTTTCTGTGCTTTGTCTATAGGCTGATTCTAAAAGTTGAACATCAATGTACTGTTTACATTGTTATGACTATGTAAATATTTTTCTCCTTGTGCCACCTACTCCTTTGCTAAGAGGGCATTCTTAGCATTCCTATACAACTTTATGTTTTTCATGGGATCTTGAATGGCCTTTCATTTTTTCCTCTTACCTTCTTAAACTAGTAACTATCCAATGTATGAATCATTTATCCCTACAGACACCTTCCTCTTGGGAATGGTCAATTCTCCTGCTCCAGTTTGGACTGCTTGCTGCACAAATGTCATTGTGGTTAGAGTAATTCTATTATTTTCCTGAAGCTCTTGTTTCTTGGAATCAAGATCTTTTGTTTTCTCGATTTGTTTCATTTTGCTAGTGCACACCTTAAAATAACTTGCTAAGAAAGGACTCACAGAAGGAGTCCCTTTCTGAGTCCTTCCAGGATGGAAAGTGTATTTGTTCTGCCCCTGTACTTGACTGGTTGGACACAGGATCCTAGGCTAAAAATCATTTTTCCTCAGACTTTTAGATGTATTCCTCCAAAGTCCTCTGGCATTCCATGTTGTTAGAGAAAAGTCTGATACCAGTCTAATTCTTAGGGCTTCATAGATTGTCTGTTTTATCTTTAGAAATGCCGAGAAAAGCTGCTTTTATCCTTGGCATCTGGAAATTTTACAGTGATGTGTATGTGGGATGGACTTTTTCCCATTTGTCCAGCTGTTTATCAACGGTCCTTATCATTCCATATCCCTCTCACTCCACAAGAATGTAAGCCCCATAGGGATTCAATTATCTGACACATAGCAAGCAGGGTCTCAATAATCATTTGATGAATGAATGAATCTGTTTTGCTTGGATTTGAAGTCTTGTGCCTCTCATCAGCTCAGGAAATTTTTTTGTATTAGTCTTTTGATAATTTCTTCTCCTCAGTTTTCTCTATTCTTCCTTTCTGGAATTTCCATTGAGTATTGAAAATGCTACAATGCATTTTTTTCCTTTCATATTTTTCACCTACTTGTGTTTTTGTTCTTTACATTGAGAAAGTCTGATTTTAACTTCCACTGTTTACAATACGCTTAGTGTTTCTTCTAGCCACTCTTTCTAATTGTTCTTTATTCCTAATACCCCTAATACCCCTAATATCCTTTTTGCCATTTTGTAGATTCAAGATCCTTTTTTTTTTAAAGTATACTCTACCAGCAATGTGGGCTTGAACTCATAACCCCAAGATCGTGGTCTACCAACTGAGCCTGGCAGGTGCCTCTAAGTTCAATATCTCGTAAAATTTCTCCTGGGACATGATTTAGAGGCTTGTTTTTTTTTTTTTTTAGAGTTCTCTTTCATCTGTTCTGCTATACCTTGACCTTTCTCTTTTACACTGCAAGCTTTCCTTACATATCTGGTCATCCCTGGCTATCCGTTCACGCTTAAGAAGAGTAAGTTAAAGGACCAGATAGGTGCCTACAAAGTCCTATGTACCTGGGTAGGGCTGACTGGCAAGTGGTTGCTTTCAACCAGGGTTTCTTACTTTCAGTGCTACTTACATTTGGGGGCTGGAGAATTTGTTGGGGACGGGGCTGTCTTGTGCACGAGGACGTTTAGTTGCATCTCTGATCTCTACCTATTAGATGTCAGCACTACTTTCACCTCTAAGTGACAAACAAAAATGCCTCCAGGCACTGCTATATATCCCGTGGGAAGTGTGAGGGTGGGCAAATTATCCCAGTCGAGAGCCACAACTGTAGGGTGCAGGGGCTGTGGGCCAAACCGAACCTCACGTCTTTACTCTGAGTCCGATTCTCTTCTATCTACTCCCGTTCTCTGCAGTTCATTCCATTTCTTACGGGAAGAAAACTTGTGTTCTTCCAGTTCTTTGGGCTTCCCACCCAGGGCTGTACTCAGGTTAAAAAGGGTGCCTAGCCTTTCTAAGGATCTTTCAGTCCTCTCTTCCTTCTAGTGGATTTTGGAGTCTCCGTGTTGGAGGCTCACGGTAGGCCTACTGGTCGCAAGCTGTCACCTCTGCTGAAAAGCCCTCGAGGAGCAGGAGTCTGGGCCGTGGCGTCCCTGGCGTCCCTGGCATTGTCAGACCCTCTCTCATCAGCCTTCTGGATCCCGGAATGTGGGGAAACCTTATCAGCTAACATCTACCACATTCTTCTCATATTCTGAGTTTATCCCTTTTTATTCCTTCGTTACGGTTTCATGAGGGACTTTCCCATACTAAGTCGTCCTTCAGCTGAGGTTCTACAGCTAACGGGTTAGCAGACAGGAGAGGATGCAAATGGGGGTTTTAGAGGTTCTGTAAAACCTCTTCGTGCTTGGTCTAGAGCCTGCCCATCTACCCGGTTTCCTTCCTTCCTCGCTTATGCTTTTTGAGTCCTTGGGACCCGTTCGCTAGGCCTGTCCTTCACTTGCAGTTTATATAAACTGAGCCTGAAGCACTGCTCCTGGCCCACCTTGCCACAGGACAAGGAGAGAGACAGCACCCTATGGGTCCTCCTCAGGGGACAATAGCTAAGCAGAGCGCTGACCCTTACACCGGGGTGCGCACAGGTCACTAGATACTAGAGATGCCCGGGTCCCAGGCCAGCCAGGATCTGCCCAATCTGAGTACCTAGGAAGGAGCACGCAAGCTGGTGGGCGGGGCACGGGGAGTGGTAAGCATCAGGGTTACGGGGCGGTGGCAGTTATCACGGGAAAAGAGAACCGGGCTCTGTTGGAAAGAAGAAAGTCATGGGCTTGAGAAGGGGAGCCTGAGGTTCAGAAACAAAAGGCACGAAGGCGCTATATTCGAATATCATGCAAAGTTGCTCACTGCTTCTGTGTCACTGGACATTCAAAGTAAAGGTCTGTGGACTTAAAGTCTAGTTTTGCCCATGGGAAAAATACACAGAGAAATAAAACATTTTATGATTTTGAAAATATGGCAAGCATAAAGGAGAAAATGCTTAAATCCCCCTGCCTGGTCTTCCCCTTACTCTACCCTATAGGACAGTAATTTTTATGCTTTGGTAAACTCAGCAAGGGCAGGAGCTCTGTCTTGCTAACTGCATTTTATGTGCCCCATGGCATGTTTCTTTTTTAAATATATATATATTTTTATTAAATAAACTCTACATCCAACATGGGGCTTGAACTCACTGCCCTAAGATCAAGATTTGCAATTAAGATAGCATCTTGCATTCTGTAAGCATCTGATAAATGGTTTTTTATTAAAAAAAACAAAAACAAAAACAAAAACCAAGTGTTAAGCAGATCACAAACTCAGCAACTTCTCATTGTTGAGTTGGTCTTCTTGTCCATGGCGGTGCTTTGCAATACTAGAGTCTTGATTTTTTTTTTTAAATGATTCTTGGTTTCAAGGTTCAAATTCATCATAAACTGCATTGGCTGATCTCATACACAAAAACAGCATAAAGAATTGGAGCAGCTGGATTAATTTAGAACATGGAACACATTTGCTCACCTGCTAGCCTTGAATCCTTTCAATTTCTGTACAAAGAATGATTCAAGAACTTCTGCACACTGGTAAAAAGGCGAGTCACTCGGATTGTAGTAACGACAGTTATCAAAAATTTTGGTCATATCTGCCACAAATTCTGTCAGCTTTTCATAATACCGTCTTTGCACTCTTTCCTCCATGGTGGCAAGGTCTTAAAAACACAAAATGTAGAACACTTTTAAAGCCTGAAGGCAGCTCCAGTGTGAAGACTGCCCACAGTCCTAACAAGAACATAGGTTTCCTGCCCGAGCAGCCCTGGAGCCAAGCTGATTCACACTGAGGACTATTTAGCGATTCACAAAGAAAACAGGAGCCCTTCTCCAATTTTGTTTTTGACTGGGGGAGCCTAAAATATAAATCTTGGCTACTGTTAAGCAGGTTCTTTTACTTTCAGTTAATGAGGGAACAGCTCTTCATTCGGCTGGGTTGAAATAAAGGAAACTACACTCACATGATCAATACACATTGAAGTACATTTTTACATGCAAACAATTATGTGTATCACATGTACAAAGAGAAGGAGGGAATCAAAAATAAAGAACAAAAAATATCTTTGTGGCTTTGTGATACCTGTATTATTAAAAAAATTTTTTTTAAACATTTATTTATTTTTGAGAGACAGAGCATGAGCAGGGGAGGGGCAGAGAGAGAGGGAGATACAGAATTCGAAGCAGGCTCGAGGGCCCGAGCTGTCAGCCCAGAGCCTGACACGGGGCTTGAACTCACAAACTGTGAGATCATGACCTGAGCCCAAGTTGGACACTTAACCAACTGAGCCACCCAAGCGCGCCATGATACATGTATTAGATTTTAATACCATCATTTTACTTTCTTTATTAATTTTTATTATTAACTTATATTGGTGACATGTGACAATGTTTTTATTGATTTTTGAGGGAGAGAGAGAGCCAGAATGAGAGCTGGGGAGGGGCAGAGAGAGACACACAGAATCCGAAGCAGGCTCCAGGCTCTGAGCTGTCAGCACAGAGTCTGATGTGGAGCTTGAACTCATGAACCGTGACCGTGAGATTATGACCTGAGCCGAAGTCGGACGCTCAAACAACTGAGCCACCCAGGCGCCCCAAGTGACACTAACTTAACACTTAAGGTGGCAAGGATATAAAGTGTCCACTTAAAGGGAAAAATATTAGCGGATATGAATAAAAATCTTAGTATCTAATACCACAAGCAGTATGCAGAGATGACTCAAATCTTTCAGGTGGGACAAAGGTAACTGCTTTGGAATATACTGAGCTTAATCTTCCCGAAATAACATTAGGTCCTAGGAGAAAGTTGTGTTTGAAAAGAAAATTCCACCTATGACCTCACATAAAAACCTCGGAGAATGTGGGGTACTGGGGCGGCTCAGTTGGTTAAACATCTGACTTTAGCTCAGGTCATGATCTTGTGGTTTGTAGGTTCAAGCCCCGCAACGGGCTCTGTGCTGACAGCTACCAGCCTGGAGTCTGTTTCAGATTCTGTGTCTCCCTCTCTCTCTATGCCCTTCTCCTGCTTGTGCTCTTTCTCTCAAAAATAAATAAACATTAAGAAAAAAGAGAAAATACAATTCCAAACTTAATTTCAATGATTATTTTAGAATTTGAGAGAATGATTTTAAAGTTCAAGAACACCTAAGAAACATCTGAAAAATACACGTAAAAGGAGAGAACTTAATCTAGCAGACATTAAGCAAATAATATACAGCTGTGACAACGGGAAGTGTGACGTCTTGCAGGATGACACAGACGTTAACAGAACTGTATTCCAAACAGGAACAGACCTGTGTTCAGCATAAGAATTTTACGTTATGTCAAAGATGTCATTTCAAATAAGCAAAGTAAGAAAAATTCATGAAGGAATTGGGTTGAGGCAACTGCCTACACAGCTGAAGAAAAAATTCAACCTCACACTAATGCCCAAGCAATTCTAGCTGCATTACAACGTACGGTCAACAATGAAAACCATAAGAAGGACTAAAAGACACAACATTGTGAATGTAATTAATCACTGAATTGTGCATAGTAAGTAGTTATGTTACATATATTTTAACACACACACGCACACACACGTCTGTCTCTGACCGTGACTGTAGGCAGTGGAAAAACAGAAGTGCAGACATGCTCCCAGCCTCGTGAAACCCCCAGACTTGGGCTCGTCTGCGGTGTGCAAGGTATGGAGGCTGTACAGGAAAGGGCAAACATCTGACACAGCACATCATTCTTGTACTTAAGTTCTGCATGCTTAATTGCCTGGTTAACTTTAATAATGTATATGAACAGTGCTGGGACGTTTTGTGATTCCAACTTAATTACACATCCCTTAAAAAGAAAGTACTAGGAGAACATATAGGTGAGTATTTCTATATCTGGGGAAGGGCAAAAGACTAAAAGGCATGACTCCAGAGGCAAAATTCATAATGACTAATAGATTTAAATCCAACAGCGTTAAAAATGATCAAACGCCAAAAAAATCAATATGAAACTTTAAAAAATTGTTTATTTTTGAGAGAGAGAGGAAGAGAGAGAATTCCAAGAAGGCCCTATGCTGTCAGCACGGAGCTTGACGCAGGGCTCGATTCCATGAACCGTGAGATCATGACCTGAGCCGAAATCAGGAGTTTGACACTCAACTAACTGAGCCACCCATGAGGATCAGTATGAAACTTTTAAATGTCCTTTGTATATAATGAGCACTTAAGGAACACTGACAACAATATGAACATCCCAAGAGAAAAGTGGGCAAAATGCATAAACAGGAAATGCACATCAAGTTCAAACACTAAGTATATACATCACTTAGTTACTGAAGTCACGCAAAGCCAAAGAACCACGCTCTTTGTCCAAATTGGCAGATCTTAAAAATAAATGCATCAGCCTATTTTCAACAATGACTCCGCAACAGAGTATGAGAGTGGTAGTACACTTCACATTTTACTCTCTATACCTCTGTAACGTCTGTACCCCTAACATGTTTTTTTGAAATTAATATTTTCCAAAAAAATCCCATCAAAAGCATGATAACACGTAGTGTTTTCAAGAGTGGAGAGAGAAAGGTACAGTCATACACTATTATTGGAAACTGGTTCAATTTGCTGCAGTGCAATTTGAAAATATTTATCAAAAGCTTAATGAATATATATATATATTCATATAGTATGTATATAGTATATATATTCATATATATATACTATTTGACCCAGAAATGCTAATTCTTGGCATTTCCCCTCAGAAAACAAACAGGTGCAGGCAGCTGCATGAATGAAGATATTCCCAGAGGTGGTGTTTATAACAGCAAAAACTGCACACAACTGAAAAACCCATTAAGAGAGAGGTGATTAAGTACATTATCTTAATTGCATACAATTAAAAACGACGTAGGCCTATACTACAGCTGGTGTGGAAAAGGTACCAACAAATTTAGAAAGTATGTTATAAAATGGGATTCATTCATATAACCCTGTTTCTGTTTAAAAATTTTTATAAAAGCTGCCAATCTTGTTGGCTCCCTCATTCCCTGAAAATAAACTATTTTCAATTTAGCCTATATCACTGCAGACATTTTTATGCATTTCTAAACACATTTATATGCTCATAGAAAGTATATTATTGTTTGATGCTTAAAGCCTATGTATTTTTCTGTAACTTTTATTTTCTTTCAACAGTATTTCTTGGAGATCTGTATTATTTTCATGTATATACCTAACTACAACAGGATGTGTATCTTGATGGTTAATAAAGATGAAGGGGGAAAAAAAAGACCAGAAAACCACCCAGCTCTTCAAGAAAAGAATTTTGGTACAATTAGTTAAAGTATATTCAATTCACAGGCTACAGAAAACCCTTAAAGTCATGTTATTGAACATTAATGACACAGCGCATGTTTGTCAAACAGAGGACTCTATTTATTTACCTACTTATTTTTAAGCCTTTTTTTTTTTTTTTTTAAGTAATCTTTACACCCAATGTGGGGCTTAAACTCACAATCCTGAGATCAAGAGCCACATGCTTCCCCTACTGAGCCAGCCAGGGGCCCCTCTAAAGATCATTGTATGATCTCAATTCTCTCTTTCACTCTCTCTCTCTCTCTTTCTCTCTCTCTCTCTCTCTCTCTCTCTCTCACACACACACACACACACACACACACGTACACACACATGCATGCACACCAAAATGGGATTCAGTAAGGAAAAGATCAAGGTGCATCCTATCTTCTATTTTTTTATTTCCTAGTTTTTTTACAATTGTGTTATGTTAAGAAGCAGAATTATGAGAGTGCCTGGGTGGTTCAGTCAGTTAAGCATCTTACTCTTGACTCAAGTCATGATCTCACGGTTCGTGGGTTTGAGACCCATGTTGGGCTCTGCACTGACAGCATGAAGCCTGCTTGGAATTTCTCTCTCCCTCTCTCCCTGCCCTGGCCCCACTCATGCATGTGCAGCGTGCTCTCTCTCAAAAATAAAGAAACTTTTAAAAAAGCAGAATTATCTATCTAAATAAATATCCTTAGATATTTCTCAAAAGAGATTATAATGACGTAAAATATGTGTAAGGACTAGTGTCTTCTACCTTCAACACCAGAACAGAGGTAATGGCTACCTGCTGGTTGTTCAGATAAGTTTTAACTATGCCCTCACACCTACTTGACCTTCACGTTTTCCCCTCTTCGAAGTTGTCGTCAAACACAAACCCTTCCCATTTCTTACAACTGAAATAGAACTGACATATGACTGTATCAGTTCCAGGTGTACAACATAATTATCTGATATATGTGTGTACTGCAAGCTGATTACCCAGTAAGTTTAATTAACATCTATCACCAACCACATAGAGTAAAAAAGTACTTTTTTCTTGTGATGAGAACTGTTCAGATAATTCTTAGCAACTTTCAAATGTACAATAAAATCCTTCTCATTTTATTGATTGATTTATAATGTTTTATTTACTTATTTATTTATTCTTATTTAAAAAAGTTTTTTTAATGTTTTATTTATTTTTGAGAGAGAGAGAGAGACAGCATGATCAGTGGAGGGTCAGAGAGAGAGGGAGACACAGAATCCGAAGACAGGCTTCAGGCTCTGAGCTGTCAGTACAGAGCCCGACACGGGGCTCAAACCCACAAACCGTGAGATCAATGACCTGAGCTGAAGTCAGATGCTTAACCGACTGATCCAAGCAGGCGCCCCAATGTTTTATTTATTTTTGAGAGAGAGCAAGCGAGTATGAGGAGGGGAGGGTCAGTGAGAGAAGGAGACACAGAATTGGAAGCAGGCTTCAGGCTCTGAGCTGTCAGCACAGAGCCCAGTGCGGGGCTTGAACCCACAAACCGTGAGATCATGACCTGAGCCGAAGTCGGACGCTTAACCGACTAGGCCACCCTGGCGCCCCTAAAATCCTTCTCATTTAAAAGATGGTCAGCTGGAGTTGCTCTTTTCATTGACAATTTTGGGAGCTTTTATCTACATTTTAGTTTTTATAATTTCATTTGCAGATAAACTTTTTTGAATATTATCATCTCAAGCTGTTCATCTCAATAAAATTACTCGTAACTGTTACTTGTTGCCATTTTTCCCCCCTGGGAAATGGGGACATGTGCTCTTGGATCTCTACTGTAGGACCATCGAATTTGCTTTCCTCCAAGAAAAGATGAGGAAGAGGTGACAGGGAGTGATGAGCGACTCAGACCCTGACCCGCCACTGATTTCACTCATCTTCTGCATGGTTGTACCGATTTCACTCATCTTCTGTATGGTTGTATAATACTCTGCTTACATACTACCGATTCAGTTCTCCCTCTGCGATGGCCACTGATTTCACTTCTGGTATTTCTGGGGTTATCAACAGTGCTGTGGTGAACTATGCACTTGTACACATGAAAATCCTAAGAAATGAAATCGCTCCGTCCAAGGGAATGCAGATTTAAACTTGACACACACACCTAATTTATCCTAAAGTTCCCACAGCAATTTATTCTTCCACCAGCCTTGCTCAGCACATCGTCACGATGTATCATGGATGGCAGGTATCTGCTGACACTTCTAAAAAACTCCGTACTCAACTGAAGTACCTACCCATAGGCTCCTTAATCACACCGTAATAATCTGGTGCATCATTAGGGTCCACTGGTTCAAGGAAAGGCCAGGCCATCTTATGGGCCTATAATGGGAGAAGAAAACATCATTATTCTCAGGTCATTTAAGTTTCGCATTTGAGCTGTTTTACCAATCAACCTGTAAACCACAAAAGTCGGTTTTAAACCTGACAGATGAAATTATTTATAACACAAATGTGAGTAGAGTTTTGCTCTACTTACAAGTCATCTCGGGGGAGCATGCCCTGGATTAACGGTTCTCAAACGGTGGCCTGAGGACCTCAGCTGCAGGGCTGGAGCACTAGCTTAGAAGACAAGAAATCTGTCCTCTCATTCCAACATGACAACCTGCTACCTGTAAAACTGAGTGGAATGGTTACCACTGCAGACTAGTGAGGTGGCAGAGACATGCTATTAAATAACTCCCTCCACATACTGAGACCACCATTCCCTTTTTAGTTCTTCTTCTTCTTCTTTTTTTAAAGATTTTATTTTTAAGTAATCTCTACACCCAATGCAGGGCTCGAACTCACAACCCCAAGATCAAGAGTCGCCTGCTCTTCCAACTGAGCCAAGCCAGGCACCCCTTCGCTAGAATTTAATCGAACTGTTTTTCAATCTATGGTAGTGAGGTAAACTTTTCTTTAAAAATTATTTAGGTTAAAAAAGTGACTTATTTTAAATACAAGTGTTAGATAAACACCATTTGAGCTAATGCGTGGGTACAGTTAACCTCATGATATCAGTACGTGAAGGACTGGAGTCTGGAGTACTTCACCAGACTAGCTGGAGGTCAGTAAATGATCACAGATTCTGAGACTGGAAGGCTCAAACCCTAGAAATGTCTCCAAAGTCACCGCTGGCTAACTTCCATCTGCAAACACTGCACAAAGAGCATCTTCTCACCTGTAAAGAACGCAGCACCCTTTTCAAACCCTCGTAATCTTTCTCTGTCAGCGGCGTGAGCACTGTCATGGCGTCCTCCGTGGACTGGCACTGTGGACAGACATACTCGTCAATGAGTTCTGCCTCACTCTGCAAGATGCCAACGCAGCGCCCATGGTACCAATTCTGACACCGATCACAGCCAATATAAAATCTGCAAGATCCGAAATGGAAATGTGAGTTCAAAACAGATGGGATCACACTGCTTAAGTTTACTTTAAAAAGTAATAAAACATGCAGCTGACAAGATTCTAACTCTAGGTATAAAATAGTTTTAGTATTACAGTTGTTTTAACACTTCTGAAGACTGACACTCAAAGGTGTTAATTTAGTATTCCTGAAGTTAACAAAGCATTAAAAGTTTATTAAGAACACTGTGTAATACTGGAGAATATGAAGAAAAATGTAAAACATTTGATTGACTTTAAAGCTCGAAACAAAATAAAGCCAGAACTCTTTCAACTAGTACCGTATCAAATGGGAAGCTGGTATTGGCCAACCCCACTGGGAGTTCAAAATCCTGTAAGCTAGTAACAGTCTCAGGGCTTATACCCAATTTAGTGTTTTTTTTCTAACCTACAATAAAGCGCCATTTCAAACACGGATAAAATCCAGACAAGGCAGGCTATTTTAATCTCTCATTAATTTCTATGTTACATATTGAAGAAACAAGTCTACCATTAAACCATATTCTTTCCCAATGCATCTCAAACATTCACTACGAAGCAACATAAATTTTGAAGGGGAGGTAAAGAGGGAAAAAGAGAAAAAAAAAACTGGAAAGGAATTTGTAATGTAAGTAAGTGTATAATATATGCAAAAAATATCTTGCTTTTTATCAAAATAAATAAGTAACCAGTCAGAGCAATTTGGCTTCCTAAATTATTAAATATGATGCTCTTATCAGAACTCACTGTGACTCATCATAAGGTGTTCTGCAGATACAGTACAATTCCTCACTGCTGCCCTCTTGTGCCCGTTTACAATCATTACAGATGTACACATCCATTTTCTTAGCCTCCTTTTCTGTGATGCCAACACATTCTCCATGATACCAGTTAGTACAAAGATCACAGCCAATATAGAACCTAAAAGTATTCACAATGAAAATGACAATGTAATTGTCATTTTGAGCTGCATGATACTTATATCTGTCTTCCCTGTCCTGAATCTCTTTCTTACAGGAGAACTTTCTGCAATGAGTCAGCTAAACATCCTGAATCCAACCATTCTACTACCCCTGGCAAACTACAGCATCAGACACTGTATCAAGTGTGGACACATAAAATCACTCACATCAATTTCAACAAATACACTGTTTAGTGAAATATGGGTCTTTAAAAGCATACTGGAATTTGAAAAAGTAAAACAACACACTGATGGTAATGTCTCCCTCTTAATGAATGTGTGTAAAACTGTAACAGGCACGAAAACCAAAGCCGAAGAATCAAAGACTTACATCTGTCAAACCTATGCCACAGAAGCCGTTTCAATTCAGGGCTATTTCTTAGATAGGTTTGAAAATGTATCTCACAATTTAAATTTGAAAACAAAGCAAAGCGCAAACACCAAGTAGAAGTTACACTACGAGGAACATGCAGGTCAGCCAGGTGCAAAAGATAAATGGTCAAAATATGGCATGAAGAAGAAAACTAAAAAAGGTACAGGTAGTGGCTCAATTTCTACTATGTTTTCTAAATAAACACTGGAATTTAACCTAACTGTAACAGATAATGATGTGGGCCAGCTTTTCAGTCGATGTAATGTAGGTGACAATGTGAGAGTGACAGGCTAATTAACTGGTAAGGAACTGCTCTGACTAAAAACAGGGCAAAAGCGCAGCGTGGAGAGTGATACAGGACAGACATCCCAAACAGGCAAGGTGGGGATGTCGGAGGGTGTGACGGAGGGTAGTCACAGTCAGCCAGCCCTCAAGGCTTCTGTAAGTGAAGACCCCAAATGATGGAATGAATGAAAACCATCTCCATGAGAAACACAGAAAGTATTTAAAAGCGGGGACAGGAGCTGTGTAGGAATGCCGTGTAAAAATCACAGCAAGAATTAGCATGAATCATGAGAAATCAGACTGGCCTTGCTGATACGGTTCTACCAAACTGCTTCTTGGTAGACTGCCCTGGAGAAACGGAAGTAGTCCTCAAACTTCAAACTAAGCTTCCATGTGAATGTAAAGGAATAACACATGGGTGTGTAGTTCATCCTACTTCCATTCATTTTTTTTTTTCTTTTGCATTAAGACTCCTCCATGATTTTCGCTGCCACGGGTGGGGGCTGGGCCTTCCGTGTGGTGGGCTATGTGTTCTGGAAGTAAGCTCAGGACTTGAATTTCAAGTTTTAGGCACTCTCACTGGCTTCCCAAGCTAGTGTGGTACAAGAGATGACAAACTACTCCTAAAATAACACTAACTCATCCCAACTAGAACGGGGAGTGGATGAACCTGGTATACTGATATTTTAATAACAGACTACAAATATGAATTCTCCACAAAATGAGGCGATCTCAGTAGAATGAGCACATGTTTCACATGGACCTCATTTCATGCAGCCTAAGTATGACAAAAACGTTGGTGTGTGAAATGAATTTCTGTGATCTATATTTTAAATAAGCCAAATTAGTCTAATTATTTAAATAAATTCCATACGCAGATATTTTTGCAAATAAACCATGTTCTGCTTTATTCTATAAATCACTGAATATTATTTTGCTTAGAGGGAGGCACACTAGTATTAGAACTAAGGGGGAAAATCAGTTACTAGGGCTCCACGTTTTACATTATGTATAACTTCCAATGGAGATCGTGAAAAGGGAAGGTGCCTAAGCTGATGCGTTGACTTCACCACACGGCTAAATCTACCAACAAAGAGTGTTGACCGAGAACTCGCACATTATAATTTTAAATAGCAACCGCTAGGCAGCTTCAGTGTTGCAACTTAAAACTTCATCGAAGAGGTCACAATTTTATTCTATAAATTGGTTAGGCATCCACTTAAGGTGGATACAAAGCATTGCTAATTCTAAATAATCATGTATTTTTGGCACGATCAAACAATTTGGTGCTATAAAAAATATCGTAGTTAATCTTGGCTTTAAAAAGCTGGCCTACATTTAACTGCTCAAAAGGAAAGCTAGATAGTTGGTTGGATGATAATGATAACAAATGAAACTGCATTGATGGATTAGTGTTTCTAAAATCTTGCATATTTCACCAGCTACAAGGCACAACAGTCAAAAACAGCTTCCAGCTGCCATGCTTATTATCACATTTTTTGAGTGTCGTTATTGAGGGCTGAGTGAAAACACTCCTTGCATTTTTTTTGGCCTTTGTCCCCAGTAAGAAAGTGGGAACTTTGACAAAAATAATATTGAGTTTCCGTGTCCCGATACAAAAACCACAGAGCTGCTTAAAATTGAACAATAAAAAACCAAAACTACTCAAACGTGAAGCCTTGTACACCATTCATATTCACATAGTCTCTGAGCTGTGATGTCATCATAAGCTTTGAACAGACTCCAGAGAGGATGCTCTCAGCTTTGGGCAGTGACAATAACACACCTCCTTCTCCCGACAGCACTACCGATTGGTTTAGAGTTAATCCAGAGAGAAGAGGAGAAAGCAAAAGAGCAACAGAAAGCTTGTTTTTGACAGAAAAGAATGTGATGAAGAACAAACACAGATCATGAACACGTAAACTACAGAAGCTTTACTGCTCTGGTGTCACGTTTAAGAACATCAGATGCAAGACCACAGATGGAGTATCACTGGCCCTACTTTCATTCAACTACTTTCATTGACATGACTACCCATACACTCCTTTTCTTCACAACTGGAAATTTAACAGCTAAGCTTTTAAGAAAATAAACTAAAGCTCAAAAACGATCTACTCACTTAGATTCATCGTAAGGCGTTTTACAGATACAGTAAAGCTTTGTGTCCTTCTTAGTTTCCTTTGAGGTAGTAGAGATCATTTTCTTCTTCTTGGACTTGGAGCTCGAGTCTCTTTCCTCTTCTCGCTTCCTCTTCTGGGAAGCTGCAGGCAGCGTGGCCGTGGCCGTGGCCGTGGCCAGGGGGCCCGTGTGCTGTGGGGGAGGCGGAGGCGGGGGTGAAGGCGGAGGGGCCGGCGGTGCAGGCGGCGCTGCAGGGGAAGTGGCCGCTACCGCTGTGGCCTGCACCATGTCTTTTTCCTTCTTAATTCTCAGGTCTCTTTTGAGCTCTTCCTGTTGTCAATTAAAGACAATACAAGGCTGTCACTGAAGACATGTTCATAGAGGACTCGGCCGGAGGCCTCTGTGTTACCTCCCTTCTCACCTCACGCCCCTGGTCGGAGTGGCTCCACAGGTCAGCCTAGTGTGAGGGGGCTTGTAATTTCGGTGTCATCCTAACTATACCCTGAGCCCAATCAAAACAACGCAAAGTAGGAAGTGAAGATTATGTAACCACTAGCGAGCTGCTACACCTGCAGAAAGATGACCAAGTGTCTGAAAACAATGCCCCCCCCCCCCCCCCGGGGCTTGCTCTTACTGTGCCCTGGCTATCTCACTTGCTGCTCAGAACGGGGTGACATGTGTCCTCACCCACCCAGATGCTTCCTTCTGGCTGCTCTCCGTCTGTGTCCTTATAAACTGAATGTGATTCTCAAACTTTGGTCTGACCAGCCAGAAGCTGAATGGGAGACACTTTTGTCTGATTCGCTATGCTCCTATGTCTAGAATTGTAAAATGCAGGAAGAGCTATTTTATCAACATACATTTTGATATAAATTAAAACCCTTACTTCTTTTCAGGTGAAGTACTTTATAGATACACCTTTGTTACCACAACTTAAATTCTTAGAAATGATGATTGTTTTCCTAGAGGAAAGGCCATTGTCACTGGCATCCATGAACAGAGTTGGTGTAAATACATCACCACTATAATGAAGCTTTTATTTTTATTTTTAAAAATTTATTATTTATTTTGAGATAGAGAGCATGAGCGGGGAGAGAGACAGAGGGAGAATCTGATGTGGGGCTCGAACTCATAAACCAGGAGATCATGAGACTGACTGAGCGACCCAGGCGTTCTTTCATCGATAAAAAAAAACTTTTTTAAAGTAATCTCTACACCCAATGTGCAGCTCAAACTTAATGGCCCTGAGATCAAAAGTCTCATGTTCCAATGACTGAGCCAGCAAGGTGCCCTGTAAATATCACAAAAATTCTAACAAATAAACCTGAATGGTCCTCGTTTAATGAATCTCATTGTCTCTACTTAGCATCTAGCTAGTCCTGTAAGGGAGAAGGTAAACTGTAGGAGGATTCAGCAGACCTTCTCAATGTAAAAAGTCTAAATTTCTTCCTAGGGAAGAAAGTAAACCTTGAGTGTCATTTTCTTAATTAATATGATGCATTTATAAAGTATGAAGTGGATTTTAGTAAAATCAACATGATCAAGATGTTTGGAGAGGTGGGGCGCCTGGCTGGCTCAGTCCGGTAGAGCATGAAACTCTGGATCTCAGGGTCCTGAGTTCAAACCTCGCATTAGGCAGAGATCATGTAAAAAAACAGATGGTGTGTTGGGTACATGCTTGATCCCCCCTTCAAGGACACACTGATGACAGTAAACTATAAAACACAGAAAACTGGGGGTGCCTGGGTGGCTCAGTCAGTTAAGCGTCCGACTTCAGCTCAGGTCATGATCTCACGGTTCGTGGGTTCGAGCCTCGCGTCAGGCTCTGTGCTGACAGCTACCTCAGAGCCTGGAGCCTGTTTCAGATTCTGTCTGTCTGTCTCTCTCTCTCTAACCCTCCCCTGCTCACACTCACACACACACTGTCTCTCAGAAATAAATAAAACATTTAAAAAATTAAAAAAATATAAAACAGACAAAACTGAAAAGATAGAGCCATGTTTGAGTAAAATAAATGTCTCTATGAAATGGAAACATAGCACTGAGCAGTGCAAGGCATGCAGGCCTGGTGGATTCCAGGTTCAGAGGTAGGAGAAGGCAGCCCAATCACAGCCGGCCTCTGCAGGAAGAAAGGGACTCAACATGCTGCATGGGAGAGGGTCATACGAACAGGCTTCCTGCTGGATGTAAGGGCTGGCAGCTCTACACTGGGCTTCCGGAGAGGAAACAGAACTCTCACTTAAATGCCAAATGAAAATCAAATGAAAACATGTGATATGAAAAAAAGCAAAATAACTGAATCTGAATTAATTCTGAATAAAATCAATTTTATATAATAATTTGACCAAAAACTGCAGAATATGTGGGTTTTAGATGTTCAAAGAACTAAATGAAGTTTTAATTTCTATTAAGAAATAATAAGAAATTACTATATCAATAAGAGAAGCAGAGAGGGTTGGAGGAGAGATAAAAAGGAGGAACACAGGACATTTACAAGGCAGTGGAACTATTCTGCCTGTAACATGGGTATATGACATCACATGTTTGTCAAACTCCCAGAACTGCAGAACACAAAGAGTGAAACAATGTAAACCATGGACTTTAGTTAACAGCAATGTATTGGCTCATTAACTGTAACAAATGGTTACGCTGATATACGATGTTAATAATAAAGGGAAGTGTGGGGGGGGGGAGGAGTATACGAGAACTCTTCCTGCATAATTTTTTCTATAAGTTTCAAACTCTAAAAGTCTATTTAACAAAAACGAGAGACAAGCAGAAATCATATAAGAATATAGATATAAATGGGGCACCCAGGTGGCTCAGTTGGTTAAGTGTCTGACTTTGGCTGCGGTCATGATCTTGTGGTCCATGAGTTTGAGTCCCATATCGGGCTCTGTGCTGAGAGCTCAGAGCCTGGAGTCTGCTTCGGATTCTGTGTCTCCCTTTCTCTCTGCCCCTTCTCTGCTTGTGCTGTCTCTCTCACTCTCAAAAATACACATAAAAAATTTTTCTTAAAAAAAAATATAAAGGATTAATCACATAACTTGAAAACAAAAAAGTTATATTTAAAAATTATTTTAAAAATATGCTGTACATATACATTTGAATATTGCTCTACAAAGCAAATTATCTTAGCCATAAATTTGACTAGTTAAAATAGTAACGAATGTTTTCTTTCTTAAAGTATAACAGGGGCACCTGGGTGGCTCAGTTGGTTAAACATTCAACTTCAGCTCAGGCCATGATCACCACGGTTCATGGTTTTGAGCACCACATTGGGCTCTGTGCTGACAGCTCAGAGCCTGGAGCCTGCTTTGGATTCTGTGTTTCCTTCTTTCTTTGCCCTCCCTCACCTGTGCTCTGTCTCTCTCAAATATGAATAAACATTAAAAAAAATTAAAAAGAATGTATAATCAATTTCTTCCTCATTAGATTATGTAATATACTGTCAAGACCACGCTGTATAACAGAATATTTACAGCAGTATGATTTTTTAAATGGCTGCACAATATGAGTGCAGAAAAATACTCAGTATGTGTTGTTTCCTATTTTTTATTTTTTAAATGTTTTATTTATTTCAGAGAGAGAAAGAGAGAGAGAGAGAGAGAGAGAGAGAGAGAGAGAGAGAGAGAGCGTGAGCAGGGGAGGGTCAGAGAGAGAGGGAGACACAGAATCTGAAGCAGGCTCCAGGCTCTGAGTTAACTGTCAGCACAGAGACCGACGCGGGGCTCGAACCCACGAGCCGTAAGATCATGACCGGAGCCGAAGTCAGACACCCAACCGACTGAGCCACCCAGGCACCCCAAGTATGTGTTGTTTCCATGTGTGATTCTATATTTGTATAAGTTGAGTTCATATACGAATACATACAAATTATATATATAAGTTATATTCTAAAAGTATTTAACAATGGACATCTCTGGAGGGTATACTGACTTACAGATTTTTAAACATTTATTTATTTTTGAGAGAGAGAGACAGATAGCAAGTAGGGGAGGGACAGAGAGAGAGGAAGACACAGAATCTGAAGCAGGCTCCAGGCTCTGAGGTGTTAGCACAGAGCCTGACGTGGGGCTCAAACTCACAGACCATGAGATCATGACCCAAGCTGAAGTCAGATGCTTAACCGACTGAGCCACCCAGGTGCCCTGACTTACAGATTAAAATTTTTTTTTTTTTTACATTTATTTTTTTGAGAGAGAAAGAGAGAAAAGAGAGACAGTGCGAACAGGGGAGGGACAGAGATCGGGAGAGGCAGACCCGAAGACACGCTCCAGGCTCTGAGCTAGCTATCAGCACAGAGCCCAATGCAAGGCTTGAACCCATGAATGGTGAGATCATAACCTGAGCTGAAGTCGGACACTCAACCGACTGAGCCACCCAGGCACCCCATGACTTACAGATTTTTAAAGTGCTTATATATTTATTTTTGAAAGAGAAAGTGTGTGTGCATGAATGGGGGAGGGGCAGAGAGAGAGGTACAGAGAGAGAGAAAGCAGAGCTGGAAATGGAGTCAAACTCAAACTGTGAGATCATAACCTGAGCCAAAATCAAGAACTGGACGCCCTACTGACAGAGCCACCCAGGATCCCTGACTTCCATATTATTTTTATTTGTTGGCCAAGATAATTGCTTTCAAAGACAACTGAATGTACATATCTAATTTACTTATTTGTAAAGAATAGAGATTATAAATATCTACCCACTCTGTGCAGAAGATGAAGTAGGAATAGCACATAACACATGTTAGATGTTAAATATCAGCTGCGTGAATTGGTAAGTCACATTTGTATCCTATCCTGTAAGCTGAATTTTTCATGCAAACATTTGTCACTGAGAATTTTCCCCAAAGAAATAAAAACAAAAAGGACCAATCCTGCACTCACCATTTTGTTAAAATGGCAGTCCACAGTGTGGACACTCCCAAATGTATTTAATCCAGAGGTTCCCAGCTGAGGTACCTCTATAGAGTATTTGAGAATGTGGGTGGAGGGGCAAGGTCATTTTTTGGGTTGAAGGTGATGATACTATCATTTAGTAAATGCTTTATTTCTTACAGTTTGTAAAAAAACTGGCCTATGGAAAGGGCCCAAGTCCTTCTGTTGAGAAACACTGATTACCGATCTCTTTTCTGTGGGCTTTAGGCGGATTCCAAACTTTTATTATTATTGTCAACATTCACTATGTCCTTGCTTATATATCTTGCCTGTTTCTTAGAGGATCTTCTAGAAGTGAAATTGTGGATCAGAATATCCATATTTTAAAGAATTTTGATACACTGATGCAATGTTCTCTAAAAATACATATTTTCTCTAGAAAAATAGTCTTCATTTCACTCCTTAGTATTTAGTAGGTTGACTTTTTAAAAATTTTTTTTTAACATTTATTTATTATTGAGAAACAGAGAGAGACAGACCATGAGCAGGGAAGGGGTAGAGAGAGAGGGAGACACAGAATCCAAAGCAGGCGCCAGGCTCTGAGCTGTCAGCACACAGTCTGGTGCGGAGCTTGAACCCATGAACTGTGAGATCATGACCTGAGCCGACGTCGAAGTTGGATGCTTAACTGACTGAGCCACCCAGGTGCCCCTGATCTGAAATAACAATTTTATCTTCTTTTTTCTTTTCTTGACTTAACACATTATCTAGAAATTTCCAGAGGTAATAAATAATAATGTTGGTTTTGGGCACTGTCATCTGGTTTCTGACTTTAGCAGAAAGGTGTCTAATGTCTCAAGAGTCATGGAACATCGATTGGTTGCTCAGCTGCTCAATTTTTTAAAAATATTTCTCATCTTTTTAAAATATACAAGGCACTTTTAGGGATACTTTAGATAGCCTACTTCTCTTTTAAGAAGCTGTTCAAATATGTATGAATAGATGTCTTCTTTCATTTTTATTTTTTTTTAATTTTTAAAAAAAATATTTATTCATTTTTGAGAGATACAGTGTAAGTGGGGAAGGGGCAGAGAGAAAGACAGAGGGAGAGAGAGTCCCAAGCAGGTTCCACACTGTCAGTGCAGAGTCCAATGTGGGGCTCAAACCCATGAACCATGAGATCATGACCTGAGCTGAAACCCAGAGTCAGATGCTTAACTGACTGAGCCACCCAGGAACCCTCTATTTATTGGACACTCTTTATTTTTCATTCTTCCGACATCATTTTGCAGTTCTTGGTCTACCTTTCTCATAAAACTTGGCTTCTGATAATTTTTGGCGAGACTATGTCATAGAGAATAAAAGCCATCCCCAAGAGGGTGCTCAAAATGTTGTTTTTCTTTATACCAATAGGCTGATCTCTCTTAGTTACTTGAGAGATTATAATATTCCTTCACATATAAAACCTCTGTCCTGTTTGAAAAGACATGTGTCCCACTGCTTTTAGGAAATCCTTTCTTACCTGCACTTGAATTTGTAGGTCTTTGTCCAGGAGCGCTCTCTTTTTCAGTATTTCCGCTTTCAGTTGTTCTTTGTGTTTGAAGAGCAGTGCGGAGAGCTTGGTGGCATTCTGCTTGCTACGTTTCTGTTCCACACTCTCCTCACGCTTCCGTTTTTTTGCTGCCTGTTTTTCTTCTTTGTCTATCTTATCCAAAATATACTTCATCACCTGGTTACAGACAATCATTCTAGAGAGAAATACACAATCCAGGTCATGTTGGGCGTTTCATTCTGAAAGGCTCAAGACGTCATTTTTCTACATCTCTACAGTTGATACACAAACTTTCTGTGACTGGAAAGCTTCAAAGAGTGATTCAAACCAGTTAGGAGACCCAATATTGCCAAGTATTCATTCACATTTAATGAACTTCAGCCAAGATAAAAAAAAAAAAAAAACCCAACAACAACAGTAAACTCAGACGTCCTGTCCGTGTGCACGCTCAAGAGGAAAGGCTGATGTACGAGACCCTGTGCTGCTGGGTTATAAACATTTCTTCCTACCTTTGATTCTCTTCTCTTTCAGCTGGAGTCATGGTCTTTTTCTGCTTTAAATGTTCTATTACAGCATTATGCTTCATCACCACCTTCGGGGCAGAACAAAATCCCAAAGTGCATATTTTATAATGACTACATGTTGGTATATAGATAACAACAGTAGAAATCTGAGCACAAGTATGTTTTCCAAAGAAACTATAAGGATTTTATATCATAATACAAGTAGAATTAGAGCTGCAATATGGCCTGTGTGCTTACTGTGTACTGGGCACTCCGCTAAGTAAGCACTTGACATTACCTCGATTATTCCTCATAACAACACTGAAAGGGATAATCTTATAAATGAGATTCTGAGGCATGAAAAAATTAATTCACTTGTTTGAAATGAAATAGGTAATGTAAGCTGTAATTTTAACCCAGCTGTTACTCTGCAACAGCCATTTTTTTTTTTTAACATTATGCTCTCTCCCTAGGTATTAATTTCTCCTCCCCATCCCACTCTGCACAGATTAGGATAAAGACAGATACTGCAACAATTCTCAATTTACAGACTACAAAGTACTAAAAGCTGGGTAATAACGCATTGGAACATTTATATGACGTCGATATATAAGAATATTACCATACACCTTTAAAATCCCTTTGTCGTTTAAAAAGTACTTCTAACGATGTTGCATTAGGATCATCAAACGTTCTAGGAGACAAGATCTTAATTGTTCCAACCACTGAAAAGGAATGACGCTCCTATGGCGTGACAGAGGGGCTGACAGCTGCTACGATGGCCATCGTGTTCCAAATATCCACGTATCAAATCAACTTGCTGTACACCTCAAATTTATACACTGCTGTATGTCAAACATATCCCAGTAAAAAATAAAATACAAAGTGTTTCTACACACATGACCTCATTTAATCATTACAATAATCTTGTGTGGCTGGAAAGAAAGGGAGTATTAATGAGGAGACGGAGCTCAGGGCAGAGAGGACAGTGGCACGGACTGAATAGGAGACCTGGGAACCGAACGCAGGTCTCCTGACCTGGGGACACTGGAAATCCACACTCAACCCCCTGACTAATGCTGAGTGGTGCATGCTGTTGATACAAAGACAGCTTCCCCCAGGAATGCTTCAGGGTCTTCTACATGTGACTTCATTTTAAGTAGAATAATTCTAACTCCTCTAAACTGCCTTACTTCACTAAGATGCTATGGTAGGATGCCACTTTTTATCTGAGCTAGGGAATAGAAGAATCTCAACCTCTAACAAGGGTGTGGTTAGAAATGCAAATGAGTTTCAATTGTCTGTAATGTGTTCCTCATGCAAACTAAGAAGTGGCAACCGCAAATAACTTCAGAGCGCCTCTGATGCCCGGGTGGCTTTGAACTTGGTTGACCTTCAAGTTTCATTATCCATGGTCCGGAAACTCCTAACTCCGTCCTTCCCATCTTAGTTCTCCCCAAATACAGGCAGTTTTTCTAATGAGCACTGATCGTTACATCCGACAAAGAGTTCCAAGCCATGGCAGTCATTCATTATTTCCTCGTCAATCCAGTGCTGCTTTCTAAATTGAACCGTCAGTGACTTTGTCTCCTGTAGGAAACCTGATACAACCAACACTAGGTCTACTGCACAGCACAATAATTCAAGCTACTGAACATGCTGCTTTTACTTAATAACTTTACCTGTTTCTGAATGATTTCACTTTGATTAGAAGCTTGGAGAGTGTGTTCCCGCTTAATTTCTATCTGTTGCTGCTTCTTCTTTTGCTGCTGATCCCTGAGTTGCTGAACCCTTTGCAACTGCTCTTGCACACTGGCTGCCTGCACTGTAACCACATTCTGAATCTGGTGAGTCTGCACAGGGCTGCTTTGCTGAATTTGAATAGGTAACTGGAGTTTGATTTGCTGGGGCACACCACCTTGCTGAGCCTGTATCTGAGCCACAACCTGTGACTGGATCTGAGAGAGAACCTGGACTTGTTGTTGCAGCTGAGGCACAGCAATGACTTGGGGCTGCGGCTGCTGTATTTGTAGCTGAGGACAGGATGGGGATGAAACAGTAACTTGACTTAACGTCTGTCCTGATGAAAGAGTTTGAGTTGGAGACTGTACCTGGGGTTGTGATTGTGGCTGGCCCTGGGAAGGTGTCTGAAGAGATGTATGTGGCTGAATTGGAATCGGTTGTGAGGTTGTAGTCTGAACCTGGGATTGCTGTCCAGGAGACACTTGGGATGGAGTTGATGGACGTATTCGAGTCTGTGGTGGACTTTGGACGCGAGCAGGAGACTGTCCTTGGACATTACTTTGAGGCTGACACTGTACTGCGACTTGGGGTTTGGAGGACTGTGCTTGGGCGGGCTGTGCTTCAGAAGGGACATGGGATGCGACAGTTGTTTGGGTCTGCACTTCAGGCTGAGCCTGCACTTCAGGCTGAGCTGGGGATGGGGGCTGGGTTGGGGGCTGGGGCTGAGCAGTCTGTGGCTGGGCTTCTGGAGGACTCACACTTGATGACTGAGCTGGTGGCAAGGTTTTGGCTTGTGGCACCTGTGTCGGGGGTGATAATTTACTCTGTCTTTGTTCACTTGTACCTGTGAAAAAGAAAGACCAAATGTTTCCATGACTCTGGAACACAGAACCTTGGTTAGAGAAGAATCTGAAGGGGATTTCCTAAAGGTGAGAATTCTGGATTTCAGTACAGAAGACTAATGCCTTAGAAATGTTCCACAGACACGCTTGACTTAGGACTCCCCTAAGCGGGGAGCCAGGCCCTCTTCCTAGAAATCAGCCACGACTTCTGGCACAGGCTAACGTTAAACCCTCATTTTTCTCGTGCGGTGCAGTGACGGCAGCCGGCAGTGGGAGGCTAACACGGTGGTTCCGGACCTGCAGCTCTCAAGGGCAAGCCATGAGCGTGGAGAGATCCACCTTCCCCGAGATGACCTGCGTGACTCCACTGGTGCCCACGAGGCTGGGCGACAAGCAAATGTGGGCAGTTACCATGACATCCACTGCTCTGGGCCCCCACCCCAATTTCCTATATTTTTATGGGGTGAAGGAGGGGACAAGGGAACCTGTAGGAACAAGAGATCTTGTGAGGCTAACGGGTCAGCTCTTAAGCTCACTGGCTGCAGGCATATCCTCCCAAAGATAAACACCGGGCCTCCTTTCCCTCTATCAGCCCAGCAACTTGTGGGATAACACGCGGCACTTCTGATAACCCCAAGTGTTACCTGCTGCCGTAGTGGAAACGGTGGTGGTGGTGCTGCTGGCTGCCGTGGCTGTTGTTGCCAAAGGCGTGAAGAGGAACCGCTGCACGGTACCATTAGGCATGGCGGCTTGCATGAGCTGCTGTCCTGGACCCGGAAGTATAGTCACCCCTTGAGGTATCAACTGCAACTGTCCAGTCGTTTGACCTTGTCCTTGAATTACTACTGTCAAACCTTGATTGCCACCCTATGGAAAACAACAGACAACAGGTAAACAGTGTTCAAAGCATCAACCTTTAAATATACCACTTTTACGCTGGAAAGATCCTTTTAACATAATGAAAATATGTATCTGGAGGTCTATAGAACAGCATCAAAAGGAATTCAGAGAAGCCAAAATAAGAATATTTATTTGGAAAGACTGATTGAACTAACGGACCCAGAGTTCCAGTCCCAGCTCTGCAAACGGACAGCCAGGTGTCTGCGTACAAGCAACACCACTCCTCCAGATCCAAACTTCCCTACAATCTCATGAAATAAGGGCACTGATGTGAATGACTGATGTCTCCACAAAATTCTGATTTTAAACCATCTTATAATTGTATTATTTTATACTTTTCAAAGCGTCTTTTTACACATGGTCCCGTTTGATTCTCACAACGGACTTGTGACTTCATGGAGTAGGGAGAGAAAATACTACTATAATATTATCACCAATTAAGAAATTCAAGGTTAAAAAGTTCCTGTCACTTGCCCAAAGTTACAGGCCAACTTAAAGGTGAGAAAAACTCAGGTCTCCTGGTCTCACTTTTTCAGTATGTACCAGATTACGTACAGTATGTGTCTGTGTGCGCTAAAGTATGAAAAGCTTAGGGTTTAGACATGGAATGGAAACATCAAGTCATGAGGGTTGCTAATGCCTGAGTAGTCACCAAAATGGGGACCGGGAACTAAAAACTCTGTACTGACACTTCTGTCCAGGATTTATTAATCCAAGAAAATTAACTACTAGGGACATGGTGGAGAGTTAGAAAGCAAAGTAAAACAACCCACCCCAAATTCCCAACAGCCCAGGCTGAAGCCACCAAGTTCACATACTAATATACATTTGCTTTACTCATGCGTCCTTATTTACTCTTGCATTCCAAAATTTTTTTTACATATTCATAAATACATAAAACACCAAGTATAGTTAAAAATAAGTATAAAGTAAATATCTATAAAATCAGCACTCAGGTCAGCATCACCAGTATCCGAGAAGGCCCTGCTGCGATCTGCTCTCATCTCCATACCCTTCCCTTCCACTGGAGGGCAGCACTGTTCTCACTGCTTTGGTAACCTCACACTTTTTCATAGTGCTACTGCTTGCGTATAGATCTGTATGGGGCTACAGGGTCACAACTTGAAGAACGCGGTCCACGAAGAACGGGATGGGAAGGACGCCACTCTCGGTAGACAGTGCAGTAGCCCTGAATCCCTATATAATACAGCTAGTCTTGCTCGTTCCTGAATTTTATGCAAATGGAATCATAATGTACGTTTCTTACTTGCTCCTTTCACTCAACAATGGGGTTCTGTGTGGCCACAGGTTTTCATTCTCATTAGTGTAGGATCGTACGCAATTTATTGAACTGATAGTAGACAGATATTTGGGCTGTTCTCAGTTTTTATGCTGCTATGAATACTCAGGGTCATTATCCTGTTGTTCACGTGAACGAGAACTTCGTTAGGGAATATAGGAGAATTCCTGGACCTGAGATATCCATGTCCTCAACTTTGCCAGGTAACACCTAGGAGTCTTCCAAATGATTACCTGCAGTTGCACATGGAAGTTTATTTTGTCTCTTGTCTGCTCTTCATCTTGTCCAACATTTTAATTTTTAACAACCTCTTACGTACATGGTTCTCATATCCGTTTCCCTCACTACCAATGGAGTTTAGTAGGTTTTTTGATTTTAGACATTTAAATGTCTTCTCTCCTTGTCAAGTTTGTTTGCTCTTTTTTTTGAGCTTTGCTCTTTTGCCTTCTTGATTTTTAGTAATTCTTCATGTGTTTTGGATAAGTCTTTGACTGTACTACTTTTTATAATGTTTGACGAACTGAAGTTCTTATTTTTAATGGAGCTAAATTTATAAATCTTTTCCTTTATGGTTAGTGTTTTCGTGTGTAAGTAACAAAGCCTTTTTTTCCTATCCTAAGGTTAGGAAGGTATTCTTGTATCTTCTCTTCTGAAAGTATTATACTCTTACCCTTCACAGGTAGGACTTTTATCCTCCTGGAAAGGAGCTGGGAAATGACGTAGTGGCCCAGTTTCACAGTTTTCCACATAAACTCAATTGTCCCAGCACCATTTACTGGAAAGTCTGCTCTTTTCTCAATGACCTGCAATGACATCGCTATCATGGAACAAGCGTTCACATGTGCACAGGTCATTTTTTGCACTCTCTGCTGTGCTATTCATCTCTCTGTCCGAGTTGTCTGTACCCTTCTGTACTAGTGAGTGAGACATTATCATCAATATTTTGATATCAGGTCGTCATATAGGGCCAAAGCCTCCTGTTCATCAAAAATATTATAACTTTTCTTTCTCCTTTGCACTTCCATTTTAAAATTTTAAAAAATCGGCCTGTCAGTTTCCACAAGAAAATCTCCTTGGATTTTTAAAGGAACTGCACTCAACTTACTGATTACTATTAGAAGAACTGAGAACACTTGAATCTTGCAAGGAAACAGCTCAGGTACTCAAATTTTATTTTTCTCATGGAAATTGGTCAACGAATAACATTTTGGTACTTAGGAGGGTTATCCACCTGGCTGTTTTAGTTCCCAGTCTAAGGGCTCTAGATAACGGAAACTGATTATATCTCACCTTTAAGAAGTATTTTTGTTTGACTCTACAAAGCAGCCATTTCTTTAAAAAAGTACATTTTAACCTTCTGAGAAGTACCTGTTTTTAAACTTACTACAAGAACAAATGAGGTCATTTCTAGAGTTAACTAAGTGGAATTACAAATAAAAACTGAAAAGAGAGTTACAATGAAATGCCATTACTTACGTGGCCCTGTGTTAACTGAGTGAGTTGAGCCATGGTGAGCTTCACCTGTCCCTGCTGGGGGCGAGGGGCCGGGGAGGGTGAAGACTGCAGATTTCCACTGGGTGCTCCCGAAGTTATTCCTTTCTGCCCGGGTGCTGAGGAAACTGTACTAGCAGTAGAGATTGCGGTGGAAACGGGCTGCCCTCTAATGATCTGGGTCACCACTTGCTGGGGGGCGCCTACACAAACAGCAAAACATTATGAATTTTTATATGCCCCCAGGCAATATTTCGAGTTGAAATACCGCTCAACACGTCAGGTGAATGCACTATTCTCCGTTTTCAAAAAGACTCATGTGATGCCTTCAGCCCAAGGCTACGCTCAGACATATCCATGCCCAGATTCCCACCTGTTTTCGCTCAGCTCACTGACAGCCATTCCCCACTTCCTGCTATCTGCAGGAGACTGAAAAAACAATATTCTTCCTGTGAGGCTAAAGCTAAAATAACAAGAGGGAAGACTGAAGGAAAAAGATAGATTTAATAAGCCATTTTATAAGGCTGCCTTTCCTTAGGAATATTTAATATAAGATGACAATCTAATATATAATGACTTCCTATGAATTTTAAACATAACAGGACTATTCTGAACCAGCCAGGTTTATAAATGAGCTCTTCTTACAGCTCTTCATCAGACAGTTTGGGAGACCCACAGGGTCAAGATCACTATATCCTCAACATCAGGGCAAAATGCTCAAAGAAGGCATCCGTAGTTCATTCCTCAATAAACATCTACTGGATGAGTTAATTTTAATTCAGATGGCTCAACAGTCTTCTAAAAACTTTAATTCTCATTTAACTTGCTGAAACTTGAGGGAAAGACAGGTGGACTCCCCTTCCCACCTCCTATGGAATAGTTGCTAAGAGTAATTATCTGGTAACTAATTTCACAATTATAATGTCCTAACTCATTAATTAGTGAATAACATCACATTTATGAAATTTTACATTCATTTTCTGTCTTTTGTTCCATAGGTGAATATATTGTATTTCTTGTATTTCTTTTAATGAATGGTGTTTAATATTCTTGTACATGTATAACACTGAATGTCTTCTGATACTCAGAATACCTTCCTCCTTTATCTTTTAATAAATAATGCTATGGTGAAATCCTTGTTCATAAATTTTTATGCACTTCTAGTTCTCTCCTTAAAATAAACTCCCCTCACTATTACTGGGTTTCTAGTAGGAACACAGTACCTAAACAAATTTTATTTTATTTTTTTTTTAAAATTTTTGAGAGTCAGAGAGAGACAGCGTGAGCAGGGGAGGGTCAGAGAGAGAGAGATACAGAATTTGAAGACAGGCTCCGGGCTCTGAGCTAGCTGTCAGCACAGAGCCCAACGTGGGGCTCGAACCCACGAACCGTGAGATCCTGACCTGAGCCGAAATTGGACGCTTAACTGGCTGAGCCACCCAGCTGCCCCAGTACCTAACTGAATTTAAATAGGTTATCCCAGCTCACACTCTCACCATTACCAAGATTCTATTTCACTGGAAATAGAATAGAACCCTGGCAACCCTACCTGCTATTACTAAAGTACAATCTACCAGCCATCAGAAACGGTATGATGGTTTCATGGTATCTGAATTTCCTTAATTACTATACAGGGTCAGCCTTTAGATCCTGGTCAAGTCATTATGCTTCATGTGTGAACTCTCTACACTCGTTCCCACTTCTCTACATTTCCTACTTACTTATGGTTGATTTTTAGGGATTAAAGGTATAAATTATAACTATATATTTCTCCTGCTTTGCATTCGGCCTTTTGTTTCTTTTTAACAAAGTTGTGTGTGTCTGTTTTCCTTATTGTAGCTTTAATAATCACTTTTAAAGTTTTCCTGCATTCTCTAATCAGATCTACCTTTTCAAGTAGGTGCCTAGTCATGATATACGCTGGGAGGTTTAACCCCACCCCACCCCAAAATATAAACTGATAATTCTACTATCATTTACTATAAGTCCCGTCTGTCTTTCTTGACTCAAAATGACAGCTTTGTCACACTGCAAATTCTCACATGTAATGCCTCAAGTGCTTCTATTGGTTTAGTTTCCTTTGTTACCAGTGCTGATTCTGGTCATGTATTAATATGTTTTAACAACTGGTAGTGTACATTTTCCATCATTACTCTTCTAAACTTTTCTCCATTATTTGCATCCATTTATTAACATGAACCAAAAAAAAAGTACATTTTGGGAAGTCAAGTGCTTTAAGTTGAGAACTTCTGGACCCCACAGTATGTCCCTGTACTGCAGTTTGAGGAACAATGCATGAAAAATGACTTTACTTGATCCCCTGGTACTGATACGATGTCATCATAAACACGAATGGATTAAAAGGTTTGTAATGATCATACGATGGTCATTCAGACGATCCCCAACATGTATGTAATCTGTTTCGAGATGATCACCAATGTGCAAATGCCAATATTAAATAAATTTTTATTACATCCAGGGAGTCCGTGGATTCTATTTTGGGAAAGGCTAGTGTGGTGGGAGGAACAGGATAAGCTGATCGATCTGCCCACAATCAGAGACACACTACGCACATCCACCCCTCTCCACCTCTCCAGCCCCAACTCCTAGAATTCCTCCCCGTCTTCACTGGCACCAGATCCACTGGCTGTCTTGCTTTTCCCTGACAAGCAAGACACACTCACGTGTAACTATGGATTTATGGACTCACATATGCAAGTCAAACACATACCTGAAGGCAAAAGGGAACAAAAGGCTCTATACACCTTGCAATAACCAAATTTTTTCAGTTTTGTAAGTATATTACCATTTGTCATTTGTAATCCTTTTTCTCTTTTACATTAGTTTTACTGTTCCCTTTAGTTACCTGACAGCTATTTTTGAACAATGATAGATACTGAATTTTACAAACTGTCACTGCAGCATTAAGTGAAATAGGAATCATACTTTATTTTCTAGGGTAAATCCTGTTTAGGCTTTTAGAAAAACAAAACAAGGGCACCTGGGTAGCTCAGCCAGTTCAGCATCTGACTCTTGATTTCGGCTCAGGGCATGTATAACCTCACAGTTTGTGAGTTCAAGCCCCATATCAAGCTCTACACTGACTATGTGGGGCATGCTTGGGATTCTCTCTCTTTCTCTGCCCCATCCTCCCACCCAATTAAATAAGTAAGCTTTAAAAAGAAAAACAAAACAATACTTTTTATTTTGTATTAGAACTGAGATAAAATTGCAAATTGAATGGAAAAGATTTAATCTTTTCTGCTCCCTATACCCTGGAACTTTTTTTTTACAAGAAAGAAATTGCTTCCTAATCATTTCAAAGAATTTTACCATAAAACCAAGGTTTAGAATTCTTTTTTGTAGGTAATCCTATAGCAACTTGGCAATTTCTTTCCTTGAGATGAGTCATCGAGACTTGAAATTTATAAGCACAGTATACACTTTTGCCTCATTATTCAAACTGATTTAGTTCCTGAATATGGACGATAAGAATTCTCCAAGGTCTTTTCTTTTTTTAAGTTTATTTTGAGAGAGAAAGAGATAGCACAAGTAGGGGAGGAGCACAGAGAGAGGGGAGAGAATTCCAAGCAGGTCCCATGCTGTCAGCACAGAGCCCAATATATGGGCTCGACCCCACAAACCATGAGATCATGACCTGAGCTGAAATCAAGAGTCAGATGCTTAACCGACTAAGCCACCCAGGTGTCCCTCTCCAAAGTCTTATTAGAAAGATACCTACGAACAATTCTCCTTTGGTTAAAAAAAGTTCATTCTACTTTTATAGTAGAATTCTATAAACTAGCAATTTGTTCCTCTTTCTCAAGATTAGAGTTGCAAAAGAATGGTTTATTTTAATAACATTTGCCCTTTTCTATTCTTCTCCTTTCTTTAAAGATTTTATTAATCTATACATCCAAAGTGGGACTCAAACTGACAACCCCAAGGATCAAGAGTCACATGCTCTACCAACTGAGCCAGACAGGCACCTAGCCCTTTTCTGTTTCCTAATTATTATCTGTACTTTCACTTTACTTCTTCCTGTTTTCTTTAAGACTTGTTTTACATATTTTATATATATGTATTTAAACAGCTGATTAAGACTTAAGAATATATTGGGGCACCTGGGTGGCTTAGTCGGTTAAGTGTCCAACTTTAGACTCAGGTCATGATCTCGTGGGTGGTGAGTTTGAGCCCTGTGTCGTACTCTGTGCTAACAGCTTGGAGCCTGGAGCTTGCTTCAGATTCTCTTTCTCCCTTTCTCTGCCCCTCCCCTGCTCATGTGCGCACATACTTTCTCTTTTTCTCAAAAACGAATAAAGGTTAAAAAATTGTTTTCAAAAAGACTTAAGAATATGGGGTTTGGGTCTGTTTTGTTCTCCAATGTATTTTAATTGCCTAGAGTAGGTGCTCAAGTATTTACTGAATTAATTTGCCTCTGAGTTCAGCTTTCGCAGCACGACTCAGGTGCTACCTAATAATGTGCTTGAAACTATGCATTTGATGTTTCCTTAACTTAAAATTTACTTATAAAAACACTTGTTTTTAAGTTTCCAAGCAAGTAAAAATCAGTAGAATAAATTATTATTAACTTCTAGCTTTACTCTGAAGAATGTGGGCTATACAATTTCTACTTTTTGGAAAGAATTCATCAGGTTTTGCCTATGACTCATTATGTGACCATTTTGGTACAAACAGCCCACAAATATTTAAAGCCAATGTATTCCTGAAGGTTTGACAGTTGCATGCGGCCTGTTTCTGGTCTACGACGCTTCTGTTAATCCCTCCTTGGTATCAAATAGTTTTTGCTTTATACACTCCAATGAAATCTTATTTGGTTCTTAAAGATCCCAAATTGCACCCTTGTTGCAAGTTTTTATCTTTAAGACAATGTAAAAACCATGGACTTCTACTCTGTTCAATATCAGTAGGGCAATCCGTGTCCTCTGCCCCCAAGCCCCATCCTGTTTCTTTTCTTTCTCTTTTTGGTCTTTGCCCATCTTTTTATTATTTACCTTTGTGGTAATTATGTTTCTCATAAATGTACAGTTGGGTTTTCTGTTCAATCTTTTGTGTTCAGCTTTTAATATGGGAGCTTTAGCTTATTCACATTAATGAAAGGCTGATACTGCCTCTTTAATCTTTTTTTTTACGCTTTCCATTTAAATGCTTCTTGGCTGTTTCCTAGATTTTATCTCTGTCTTTTGCCACACAGACTGCTGTTCTTTGTTCATTTTCTTTACTCCAATGATTTGAATTAGTATATAGTCCATCTACTAGAGGTTCCTAAAACATTTTTATTAAGCAAACTTGGATCTACTTTTCTCTTATTGGCAAAGCATCTATGGATGTACTCCACAATGGATTAGAAATTTAGTACGCTGTGAAGTATTCACTCACAACGCAGAATACTAACCACTATACGATCATGGCCTGAAGTATTCATTCAAATTAGTATTTTCTAGTATGTAAAGTGGCCAATACAGAGCAATACAGATTTCCTAGACTGGGTGTTCAGATGCATAATGAAAATGCTGGAGGGATGAATACCTGGCTGTACCATCACAGGTGTTCGAATAATTGCCTTTCCTAGTGTTGACTGTTGGAGTGGTGTTCTAATCACCGTCATACCAGGGCGGATCTGAGGCCCTGTGATTACCTATAAACGACACAAAGGGCAATGAATTAAAATGCTTTTAAAAGACAAAAAAAGCATGATGGACTTAGAACACAGATCTTTAAACATTTTACATTGATAATTAGATCTACAGAAGTGACAAAGGTTCTTGGGCATTACATTTTCAATTATATGAAGCATCAGAATAAAGATGGAATTCTGAGGGGAGAAAACTTAACCCATATGAGATCACACGAGATTCTTTGTCACTGGTATCAATTACAGCCTACAGATTAGACAGAAGGAAGGAACAAGACTCAGTGAAGCTCTGTTCTATAATCACCATAGTTGCTCAGAGGAAAATGTTGGGTCCTATTCTCCCGGAGGTTCAATACCTATCTGTCACCCACAGAATATAAGATCAGAAACCAAATGTCCTTTCACAGTTTTAGAGAAAAGACCATGAAGCCTATTGTTTTCAGTTTTACAGTTAGGTTCAGAACGTTTTCAAGTCTGCAAAACTTGAAACCTTTTCGATGATGCTAGAGCCAAGGAAATGGTGTATCTAATGTGTGTGCATCGGCTGATAACAAACGAGCTATACTGCCACGGATTCTATTTTTCATCTCACTTCTCAGCTGCATACCAGGTTTCCCTCGGGGCTCCAATGCTGTCCATTGTTTTATATGAAGGGATTTTCTTTACAAAATCCTAGAAAGCATTTCTTATGATTCATAAACTAATATGCTATTACCTATATGTTGAAAATTAACATTTTATGTATCATTTATGCTTTGATACGTAACAGATCTTTTAAAAAATCAGTACCTTGTCATAGATTAAATAAAAAGGAAAGGAAGATTAGAAGCTAAGTTACTCCTGGAAGAGGCCATTCTAAAAACTCCAACCTGGTGTGGTTAACACTTCAAAACCAAATAAGGCTGTAGCGAACTCTTACTTGTGAAGTGCTTGTGGTTGCTCCAGAGCCTGAGGTATTGGGCCTAATTGTGACTGTTGCTGTCCTGGGCTGGAATGAAGTAAAGGTCTGCTGACTTGTACCTGTACTTGATGGAATGATACCCAGGACTTTCTGCTGTACTTGAACAACGCCTTAAAAAAAGATGAGGAAGTCATTAACAACTGCCCTTTTAAGAAAAAGCATCAGGTGTTGCTGGGTTTCTGAGGAGAAACTACGTGTGGCAGGGATTCATAGTGGGCTACATAGAATGTGAGGTCCAAGGACTGAAATCAGTGAAAAGGAAATGAAAAATAATGGCAACAGTATGATCTGGCAAATGTGAATTAAAACTCTCCACATTTCCCTTACCTCCTTGTGTTGCTGGCACATTTACAGCGACAATCTTGCTGTTTGCAGGAAGTGGCAGTTTGGTAATTACTTTTCCTGCCATAGTGACTGGATTGCCTGTAATTTGGAACGTCTGACCTGTGCTGGCAATGGTTGGAGCAGATGTGGCAGCTGTGCTGGTGGCTAATGGGGTATAAGACATTTAATAAGCTTTAGATTTAAAATAACCAGCAACGTAGTGACTTCTAGGAAGGGCACCAATGCATGAAATGTGGCTCATTTTTGTATTTTTAAGAAAAACATTCCTCTCCACTCAAAGTAAGTGAACTATGTAAATGTTGAAAGTGAACTAATGTAAGAGAGGAGTTTCGCTCATGTCACATTATGAATATCATCTGTAACAAACCAACTGCGGCAGCTTGTTTGCTCAATCAGCTGCAGGGAAAAAAACAACAACAATTCTCTAAAGAAATGTTTCACTTCAGTCGGTAAGCGATTGAAATTTCTTTTTCCTGAACGAAAGCAATCTTTTCTTTAATAACAGCTGTGTACCTGAGTTTGACTGGCCTTGCTTAACCCACGTAGCGAAGGTCTGATGGAAGTTCTTGTTTTGCTGGAATGTCACTGTAGCTGGAGACCCAACTTTAGTAGTTAGTACCATTTTTGTTCCGGTTGTCACTGAGCCACTTATGGGGGCCACCATAACTTTCTGCGCCGGAGAGATGGTACTAGTCGTGCTGTTTGCTGGGGAAGTGGTGGAAGCTGCAATTACTGTGGGTTTCTGCTGTTCCAATCGTTTCTAGAAAAGTCAGGGAGAGAAAACATGAACCAAAACAGTTCTAAATAAAAACCATGCCGTTCTGCAAGAAGTCCAGCCACAGTTTCTCCAAATCTAAGAAACTGCACCAGATTTCTAAAATATTTTATTTCTGAAAATATGTCCTTAATTTTGCCCTTCAACTTAATTTCTTGAGGAAGGCAATATTTTTGTGACTCTAAACCACATGTATTTTATTAAAAGCAGTAAGTCTTTCATTAAAAAAAATTAAGAGCCATCAAATTTTTCCGGCCTCTACAAATGCCACCTTCCAGATGGCCAATAAATGAGAACATGGGTCATCTTCCTGAAGACAGGTACACCTTGCTGCTTGGGGTGGGACTTAGAGCACACAGCACATGATGGGAACTGTAAAGCGTTTCCGGTTTACTGTGATGTTAATTTATCCAACTGTAAACACATGCCAATATTTAATCACTATTCAAGTTGACAAACATGCAAGTAAGCAAGGTGAAAATTATAATAAAACATCTTTTAAGCTTCTTATCTCACTCAGTTTAAACTTTTAGCAGAAAAATATTTTAGACTATTTTATGCAGAGAAGTATAATCTGATCACACTATACGAGTCGATTTGTACACCTTTCATCACAGATTGCTAACATTTCCCGACCTTACCAACATGACAGCGTAAGCTTCCACACGTAAAAACAATAGGTGGCAATGACTTCAAACTTGGTGGCAAATGCTTTATCATTACTATCTTTTTTAATGCTCAGACTGACCCAACAGAGTTGCTGGTATTATAACTTAAAGATAAGGAAACTGAGACTCGGGGAGAGACTGTGTGTGACTGGCCCCGGGCGGAGCTAGCTACCGGTGGAGGTGAGAGGTGTACTATGACAACACCACAGTGCTGTACTACCTCCTTCCCCTGGAAACTGCTCACCGGTGACATCACAGCCAATCTTGATCTGCTTCTGGAAACATCCTATGCACCTGAATACAATGTGAGGTATTTCACATAGTTTCTCATTCTTCAGAAGAAAAGGAGTTCAGTTTTGTATACTTAGAGATGTCATCTGATTCAGTTTAAAAAAAAAAAAAAAAAAAAAGGAGACAAGGAAACTGAACACATATTATTCCCTGAGGATATGCCTTCAAAATTGGAAATGTTGGGGTGCCTGGGTGACTCAGTCAGTTAAGCGTCTGACTTCGGCTCAGGTCAGGATCTCATGGTTCATGGGTTCAAGCCCCGCGTCAGGCTTCTGTGCTGATAGCTAGCTCAGAGCCTGGAGCCTGTTTCAGAGTCTGTGTCTCCCCCTCTCTCTGACCCTCCCCTGCTCACGTTTTCTCTCCCTCTCAAAAATAATTAAAACATTAAAAAAAATTAAAAAAAAACAAACAAAACTGGAAATGCTGACTATATTTGTAAATAAGTATTTACATAAAATTTTAAAAATAAAACATTAGGTTTCACTGTAGAGATGACAAAATACATCCATAAAATGAAAAACAAAACAACTAGCTAGTTTTTCCATGAATGGACAGATGGACATGACAATATCCCAAAGTGCTGTGATCTCAAGCCATGAGGCAAGTGAAGGCTATGGCCTACAGTAAACCAACGTGAAAGATGCACGAAAATTTAAAAGAATTTCTGGGGTGCCTGGGTGGCTCAGTCAGTTAAGCATCCGACTCTTATTGTCAGCTCAGGTCTTGATCTCAGGGTTGTGAGCTCAAGCCCCGCGCTGGACTCCGTGCTGGGTGTGTGGCCTACTTAAAAAAATGTTTTAAAAACGTTTTATAAAATATGAGACGAAATGAATACTTTGGTTGATATGATATGCAATGTTTAAATACTTAAGTATAACTAAGTTAATGATATTGTCAATAGGCATGTATCTAGTCCATCTATATCCAAAAGTTTATATATTTAAATTGGTTAAAAAAATCTTCAGAGTATTTTCTCAAAAGGAAAAAGGAGTAGTCATCTTTAATGTGGGTTCCTAGTATTGAGGCAGGTATATATTTATATATATATTATTTATAGCAGGGAAATGCAAAGAAACCATCAGTAGCTTTATGTTCCTTAATCACACCAAACTCTTACAGAGTTTTAGTACAATTTGCTTTTTCATAGACTACAGAGATCTTACAGATAAGAACTTTGCAAGAAAACGTTACCTTTGAAAATTACCCACAAACTCCTCAAACTAATGTAACACTGTGTGTCAACTATACTTCAGTAACAACAAAAAACTACCCATTGACTTTTAGATAATAAATAAAACCGCGCGAATATATCATCATTGGGCTTTTGGTGCGCACGGATTTGGCTAAAAATGTCAACAACTCTCTGCCAGGTGGGACAGGTTCCAGCTCCCCCACCTGCCGGGCAGCCAAGCGCTGCTGTGAGAGGTGAGCCTCCATTTGGGCCTTGAAGTCCTCTGCCTTCTTCTGTTCACTAACCTTAGCCTGTTGTTCGACTGCTTGTGCCTTCTCTTTCTCCACTCTGCAGGAAACGAAGGAGACATCTTATCAGAACTACATTGTTAGGCATCTGGCATGAAATACTAAGTGAAATCTGGTTGACTTTCATATTATAAAAAGATATGAAATTATTTCGATTTAAAAATGAACATTAAAAGATAAATTAGAAACTGACAAGTGGATACAACACATTAAAATTAGAAATCGGACTTGAATAAATGGTATATAGCTACTAGCACTTAAAATCAAAAGGTGAAGTAAAATTAACTAGGACATACTGAATAAACTCTTAAGGTGGTAATTCAATTCCGAAGTGATAAAAGCGTCAAATATCTGACCACATGTTAACCATTTCCTTACCTTTCAGCAAACGCCCTGATCTCCCATAATTCCAACTCTTCCTCTGCTACCCAAGTTTCGATAATAACAGGGCCAGTTTGCTTGGGCGTTTCTGGTCTCTTTGGCCGCAGTGCACTTGATCGAAGGCCTTTCCTCTGAGGTGTAGGTGTTTCTTTGGAAAGTAAATCAGAGTATTTTAAGCAATATAGCTTTAAAATTGCGGTACTTCTGACATCTCCTCTTTTATCATGAAAAACAAGAGTTGGCCAACTTTTTCTTAAAGAGCCAGATGGTAAATACCTTACACTGTGCGGGCCAGATGGTCTCTCTAACAACTATTCAACTGTGCCTCTGTATCATGAAACAAGCCAGAGACCACACATAAGTGAGCATGCATGGCTGTGTTCCAATCAAACTTTATTAACAAAAGCAGGTGATGGGTCAAGGCTCATGGGCCAGGTTTGCTGGCTCCTGACATAAAAGGCCTAGGACCTGTTCCATTCCGGAACACTACTCCTGGCCTCATTCCCCCTCACATGACTAATGCCTGTTCATCCTTCAGACCCCACCATGGATACAATGTCCTTCAAGGAGCCTACTGGGTTCCTCGCACACAGTTGGGCTGAGTGTCCTTGCCATGTACAACTCTGGCAATGTGTTATTTCCCCATCACAGCACTGAGAAAGGGGATTTGAAAGTTGTCCATGTAAAGAAGGGATAGGAAACTATTAAGTACAGGTAAAATCTCCTAATGTAAGATCTTAAAAATAAAAAGCAGGGAGAGGCAAGCACTGAGCCTTCCATTCATTCAGGGAGCAGAGAAGCAGCTGAAGAAAACTGAAATAGCAGACGGACTTAGGTTATCCAAAGAGATAAGAGGCAAAGAAAAGTGACTCAAGGAGACTGCAGCCATTTGAATTGAAGGCTCTGGGGTCAAGACTAAAGACTGGTTAGAAACTGCCTCTTGCATCTGTTTCTCTGCCCATCAACTGAGCGGTCTGTTTCCATTCCAGGACACTGCTGCTTCAGTCACACTATTTGCTTCGTCATTCTACGAGGATAGGTACCCCTACTGAAGTTCTTTTCAAAAAATCTGCTCTCACTTATTCTCCAGGATGAACCTTTGGATTAATTCAATCAAATATCAAAATTTAAATTTATACATCTTGGAACAACTAACTTCTATTAAATAGTATGTTTCTATCTAAGGACAGCATTCTCTTTTTACCTACTTTGTAACAGATTTTTCCCCTAAATGGTTTTATTGGACATATAAAATAACACTGATCTTTAATCTATTTATGATCTCTTGAATCTAGTCACTGACTGCACTCCTTCTAGTAACAGTTGTGACGCTCATGTTATAGTATTACAACAACACTACACCGTCGTCTTCACTTCCCTGAGAACAGCGGCTGAATCCAACCCTTCCATGTATTTGCTGTCCAGTGCCCATCATGTGGGTATTCCATAAATGTTTCCTGAATCACTGTTAGATCATTTCTCCCCCAAGAACTGAAGTATTTCAAAACAGCTTTAACCCCTGAGTCGTCAATGTGCGGTGACCGCTCCTGGGCCTGAGTCCACGGCAGGTGTCGGGACTACACAAACCACAAGGACCCGGTGGCCGCCCTCTTGAAGCTGATGGTCTAGTATCAGTCCCTGTTCCACATGTCGATTATAAGAACTATTATTACAGCTCTCTGCACCCTCCCTGTGTTTGGCACAATCCCTATGGTATCCATGTGTGTCTAGTGGAATCTTGCTATGTTTACTGAATACAATTTTAAAAAATATAATATATTATAATGAAAAGATATCTTTCTCAAAGGTTGAATGAAAAGATAAGGAAACAAATTTAATCCAATTTTAATTCATAAAAGATGTGGCCAACAGGTCAATAACAAAGAACAGAATTCTTTCTATTCCTTACCTTTTGGTGCTTCTGGAACTCCAATGGGGCAAATGATTTTCCGGATACAATATTCAGATCGAATGCCATAAGGACCAACATCTCGCCTCTTAATTATCTCTGTTGTTGTGATTTCAGTTTCAGATGTTTCTATGGTGATTTAATTCACATAGTATTAATAACCACCTAAAATAGTCAGAGACTAGAAAAGTACAACATCTGGTGCTTTAAAAAGGAGACACACATGGAATAAACTTCTGAAAACATGTGATGACTTAATGGCTTCAGAATCACTGCCAGGCTGCACTAATACGGAGTTTCTTCCTCACGGAAAATCTCTAAACTGAGCAAAATGCTGTTTGGGGGCAGCTTAGTGTCTGGTGGCGAAACAGTCAAAATAATTAAGAGAAGAGAGAAGCAGCAAGCACAGGGTTCTAGATGTCCCAGTTTAACTGATTTATTCTCTGTGACAATAAGATCTTTTAAAACTTCAGACTGATTCATATGTAAGAGACTCACCTTAGAATTTAACCCCCTTTTCCTAGCCCCCAGCATCTTACAGCATGTGCTGCCAAACTTTAGCAAAGCTGTATTTTAAAAACACAAGCGTTTTATATATATATATATATATATTTTAAATGTTTATTTATATTTGATGGGGGTGGAGCATGCATGTGCACGAGCTGGGGAGGGACAGAGAAGGGATGAGGGGAGAATATGAATCCTAAGCAAGCAGGCTCCATAGTGTCAGCTCAGCCTGATGCAGGGCTCAAACTCATGAACTGTGAGATCATGACCTGAGCCAAAATCAAGAGTCGGACGCTTAACCGACAGAGCTACCCAGGCGCCCCACGAGCATTATGTTTTAATAAATAGCAAAAATGCTTAAAATTAAGTGGGCTGTCAAGTGATTTACTCTTTTCAACTTAGACCAGAAAATGGAAAGCGCTTACCTGTCCGTGTGGTCCCTCCTCCGGGAGGAGCCTTGGCCGCCATGTCATCCCACCTGAGGCTTGCCCACAGTAACCGTAACATAAGGCTCACTCCAGCTAAGGACTTCACAGTCTGAAGTCTATACCTGAAAGGAAAACCCAAGAGAAACGACATATGTATCGTGCATGCACACACACGTACACATTCTATTATTAAACTGAAGGACTATGTCGTGTCCTCATTATTAGTAATTATAATACAATTTTGTAAGCACTTTGGCTAGTCTATGCCCCTTAATAAACTAACTTTTTTGTTCCTGGGCATATCATGCATCTAACAACTTAAAAGGGTCTGTATGTCACTTCAAACGCCATATAAATTTGTTAAATGAGCATGTTTCAATGTAAGACTGATATGGCAAGAATTTATGAAGATCTTATAACATTTAGCCTAATTCCAAAACATAAGTTAGGGAAATTACAAAGGAGAACAAAATACAGGGACATAATTGTGTTACTAAATGTGGTAAGAATTTTGAAGGATAAAATCTTAACTGATTTGTGCTGAAACAAACTGAAACTGTTTAACTTTTCTCAAAACCCAACAACAAAAAGATCCCCCACAAATCCACCGAGACCTTTCCAAATGAAAAGAAATTCTGTATCCAAATGGTGGTTCTACAAAAGATGAACTACTGGGTGATGAACACCTGCTACTACTACTAACACTTTAACTGCATTAGTAGTTTTAGAATTCTACAACACAATGAATAATAAAAAAAGACAATACCATAGAAGTTATTGATCAGGAGACAATGGAATCTCTGTGTTCAGGTTTTTACTAAGCATTTTGTGCAAAGTTACTGAACATTTTAGATATTCTTCTAATATGAAAGATACATTTCAAAACGAATTTACCACAGCAGTGAAAATGTTGTCCCAAAACGGAACTGACCAAAAAATATTTTTAAAAAGCCCTCGGGTCTCAACTCTCTATTAGTGGTCTTTAAGTAATGAATTAAACACTCTTGTTGACATAGCTTAAATACTTAAATAAATACACTGGCTGACTGCGGTGTACAGAAAACCTATAAAATGAAAATAATTTCCTCTTCTAACAGAGGTAGAATAAGGTAAACCTTAGACCATTTGTATTTAAGAGGCAATGCTTCCTATTCTAAACATGAAGCTGGGAAAATGAACATGTGAGAAAGGGAACGCTCCAGCCAAAAAGTTGCCGCAGCTTCTTAAGTTCTCACCTCCGACTGTGACAGCAGTACTTTGTTCCTGGGCTGCCACCCTGTGAATCCTCTGACCTGGGCAGAACAATGTTTGGGGGGGGAGGGGGGAGGCGGCGGCGAGAACGCTAACCAGGGCAGGGGTATCCCGGGAGGGGGTAAAGTACGGGTCACTTTCAGACCACATCCTACAGAAATGCCTAGGGAACTCTGGACACCCAATGGAGATGCATTTGAAAAGAGAAATGTTTCTCATTCTCTCTTCTTCCTCAGATCGTTCTCTACAGTCAAACAGCAACTTCAATGCGTCTCAATTTTACAATGGAATCACCGCCAGGTGGGGACCACGCCAGCAGCCTATTCATTCATGCATTCATTGGAAGAATACTTGCGTTCCTTCTAGATTAGATAACTGAAAGGAGCTGGAGACAGGGACATGAATTATGACCCACTCCTACATCCTCAGAGCTGTGACAGAGGAAAGCACGAGGGGCACCTGATTCGGCTCAGGGACGGGGATCAGAGCTTTGCTGGAGTCTCAAAGGACAAGGATGTGGGGGTGGCTGCACGTATGCTCAGGAGGAAAGTGAGCAACAGAACACACTTCTTCCCAGGAACCACATGTGGTGTGCCAGGACTGGAGGGCAGGGGTGTGGCAGTGCGGCAAGAGATGAAGCCGGCATGAGAGAGGAGGGCAGAGCCAGAACATCCGCACCAAATGGAAGGATAAAAGAAGAGCATTAAAGGCGATCTGTATTAAGCCCTCAGAAACTTCTGCAGTGTAGGACGGGCCATGAAGGGAAGTGCTTCTCACAGATGGGGCGGGGACGGGCGACGAAGGCTCTCCCCTTCCAGCCCCGCAGCTGAAGGCTTGCTCAGCTCAGTCAGAACATTCACAGGGTAGATCTGCCTTTTAGGAGATCACTGGGGCAGCACCGGGGAGACGGCTACTGGATCAAAGTGATCATGAGACACAGAGTCAGGGCCCGGGAAAAAGGAAGTAAGGGAATGGACAGCGTGGAAGAAAAAAGAGGCCTAATGAGTTGACAAGACAAGTTTCACTTTTCACTACTGCTCAGCCTTCCCAGTAAATTAATAAAGATCAAACATGCACCTCTGACAGTCTTAGCTTCTACGCTAAGCATCAGACATAATTTATTCAAGTGTGAGTATAAAAATGCATTTCACATGCATGGTTTTTATAGCAATACACTTTTTAAAAATGCATTCTAAAGTCAAGAATATTTTACATATTTACCCATGCCTCTGTTAGATGAAAGGAATTATGTTTCTCTCAACTTCAGCAAATTAAGACGTTAGCATATATTTGACGGCAATATCTGATTAAAATGTACAGGAAGGTATGTCCTTCCATTAAAAAATGAGAAGTTAACTAAACAGATACCAGTGGTGCCCACAGTGCATATTAAAACATAACAATACAAGGCTCCTGAAACCCAGCCGTGCAGAAAAGGGCCCTGGGCAACACGTGATCAGAACTGGTTCAGAGGCAAGTACTTCCCAGTTGAGCCTACCTTCCACTTGAGTAAAGAAAAGAGCAGAAAGGTCGGCCTCCACAACTGCCAGGTCATTGTAATTAAAGTATTTGTACATAGTAACTTTTCCAGTGGGAAAGAAGTTACCTGCAGGACAGTCAAGGATACATTTTGGGACCGCTCTCAATGAAGAAAGCAGAAAAGTGCAGAGTAATCCTATAATTCCATGAACTGTAATGAAGAGTTCCTTGATTCCCTGCAGGATTCTGCAAATCCTTCATTGCAGGCCCTGCAGAGAAATTGGACTTTTCAGCTGTCTCTATTGAATGTGTAATGGAGTGATGATATTTTAATTCAAATCAAAAGATGAGTTACAAAAACCTTGGTCAAACCAAATACGACTGGTCATATTAATAAGTTAATTCCTTTATCAAGAGTACTCATTCACATTTTGTTTTGGTTTGGGTTTTGTTTTATCATACTAGCCACCTGTTAATATAAAAGAAACCAAAAAAAATTCTAACTTAAAGAAAGTGGAACCACAGACACAAAGAAATGAAGCCTAAAGTGAAATGGAGTCAGCTTGGTCACTTGCTGAAATAATTTTAGGTTCCTGTCAAAATCTAGCCGAAATCAAGACTGTTCCTGACTCCTGAGCATGGCCCACAGAACTCTTTAAAATGTTTTCAGCGTTTATGTTTCATCCTTCCAGTGGTGAGGGTGAAGAGATAAAAAGAGAAGGACATGAAAAAGGACAAAGCAAGGACAGATATGTGAAAATGTGATATAGCAGATAAAGTACTGGACTGGGGTTTAGGAAAACCGGGCACTATTCCTAACTCTGTCACTCTGTGGCCAGAGGCAAATTATTACACATCTAGAAAAGATAAGACGTTCTAAGATCCTTTCCAATATAAAACTACACAATCTTCCAACTGCCAGCACTATGAACTTATGACTCATCCCCAAAGCTTAATGCCCAGAAAATTTTAAATTAAGACTATTTCTGGGTTAAAAAAAAAAAATCATTCCTAAGGGCTCTCGGAGACTACCTCTTCGCACATAAATAACAGAGAACTGCAAAACAAATGTTTATCATGCAAATAAATTACATTAGGAGGATTTCCAAATCATGATGAACCTTGTGTGATTCACAGGCATGTCTCCTATGTCTTATGTCTTTATGAATTATCTAATAGAAATAAAATACAAAATTCTAGAAAGTTGATTATCCAATCCTGTAATTCTCTCATTCCTAAGGGAAACACATGGCAGGAACTTGGAAAGTTAGACCACAAAAACAACTATGTTTGACATGTTTCTTCTGTCTTGTGAAAAGTAAAACTAAATTTCATTTTTAAAGAATTCCCACATTTTTTTTTTCGGTCTTTTAACATTTTTGCCTAAGTAAACTTTGGTACCTCCCAGCTGGCCAAATTCAAGATTCTCTGTATCTTATTTCCATTACTAACTTGGCCTGTTAAATTTCTGCTTCCCTGTCTTATCCCAATTATATCTCATTTTTTACAGAAAAAAAATGAGATATGCTTACTAGATACCGCTCTAAAGACTTTCTCCCTTCCCAAATACATTTTAAAGTACATACCTCCAAGTGATACCAAAGGTTGGTCTTGGAGAGGGATATGGCCATATGTCCAAGGCAGGTTTTGCATTGTAATTAAAATAAGGGACTTCTCGAATTCCTCCTTTTCTGGCCAACTTTTTAAGGTCATCATTGGGCAAAACAAATATGCTCTTCTTGCTGCTCTTGGTGATAAATTTTCTATAGGATGGCAGAGCAGTACCTGAACGGGTCTTCTTGGGTCTTGAAAACTTCATGAGTTTCACCTTGTCCCTTGTGGAATATTCTTTGCTCACAGTCATAGATGTTACCAGAGTGCCTCCTGCAGTCGTCAGGGAGTCTGTCACTGTTGTGGTGACCACAGTTTTGCTCTGCTCCTTCACAGAGATGATGTCCACACTGCTGCCTGTGGAGGGTGTGGAAAGCTTTGTTACTGTTGTAGTGGTGGTCGTGACAGTGGATTTGGCACAATTTTCTGTGGAGGAGACCACAGTCTGCTTATCGCCTTTTTCTACTTTGATTACGGTTTTTGATTCTGTGGCCACTGTGGATGTCATGGTGGTGACCTCTGTGATGACTGTTTTTCTCTTAGACTCTCCATTGACATTTTCATCTTTGTTGGTGGGCAGACCATTTTCATCAACAAAATCATTACTGAGGTTAGATTCCTCTCCAGAAGTAACAGGTGAGGGAGTAACTTTCTTAACTTCTGAGGTTTCAATTTCCATATCTTCTACCTGATTTGTTGAACTGCTTTCTGGACAAGACAGTGGAGGTGTGGCAGTGTGTACACCCTCAGACTCTTTGGTTGAAGGCAGGGTTGCTAGGCCACCTTGGTAGTTGCTTCCAGCATCAGAAGATCTCAGTAAACACGGTTTTGTTTCCACGTTGTTTTTTTCATTAAAATCCTCCATGATGACATCACCATTCATGAATGGCTTTACAGCAGAGTCTTTAACGCTCAAAGACTTAATATCATTTTCAGGAATTATTTTATTTATATTATTAAGCTTTGGTTCAACATCGCCACTTACTACTTTAGTCTCAGAGATTTCTTTCAAGCATTCCCCTTTTAAATATACTTTAGATTTATTATCTTTTCCATTTATTTGAAAGGGACTTGCTTTCTGTCCTTTCCTTTCTGACTCTCGATTTTCATTATTCTTTTTGTCAGTGCTACTTTTTGGATTGACTTGATCAATACATTTATTAACTGATCTCTCCTCTAATTTCTGTTCTTGACTTGGTTTTTTACCATTTGCTTCGGTTACCTTACTCTGTGGTCTCTTATCACAGTTCCCAGGAGACTTATCTGAAACAAACTCACATTTAAATGGTTCCAAGCCTTCAATACCTTGTTCTTGAGTTGTGAACTGTTCAGAAATACTTTCATTGCTATTCTGAATAATCATATCTTCTTCACTGCTGTCTTGAATAGACATAGTATCAGAACTATTTTCCAAAGTGCTATTATATTCAGAGTCACATCCCAGTTTTCCTTCAAAGTCCACTGCTTTTGACAGAGATGGGATACCTCTATCATCGGTACTTTTAGGTACCGATGGAAGTGAAGGGCTCTGGGAAGGAGAAACAATGGTGTCATTATCCTCCTGTATGAGTGGTTTTTTGTGTTTATAGATCAAAGTACCAATTTCATCTGTACTGGTTAGTTTTGAGTCCTCAGTGAGAAAATCACTTCCTTTGGTTTTAATCTTACTAGGTTCCTGGCCTTTACTTGAAGGTTCAGAGAGACTTTCATCTATGTCATTTCCAACAGAATTTTGTTTCTGACAGTTTGTCTCTGGGCTCTGAATGGAGACGTCATCTAACATTTGATCTTTTGGATAAAGTCTGTTTGTTGTATGATCAGGATCACTGATTCCAAGAATTGAGGAATCGCTCTGTGAACATCCCCGAATCAAATCTTCAGATTTAACATTACTCGCATTAGGGCTTTGTTCTTGTCTAAGCAAGTCACTTGGACACCCTTCTTTTGCTTTTGTTATTACTGGTGACTCAGAAAGACTTTTCAGAGAACTTGTAGAGGTCTTTCCTATACCCTTAATTCCACCCTCCAGCTTCATTTTTTCGAGGCGCTGTTTTTCTTCCAGTGTAAACTGTTTAATTCTCCTTTCAAGAAGTCCATCTAGTTTGGATGATTTAATTTTCTTTTTATAACTAGTCCTTAGATGAAAACCCTCACTGACATTGACCACATCTACTTGAGAACTTTCCTGATAATCTATATTTGACTCTGTTTTCACATCATCTATTTCCATTGGTTCTTCCTTAAAGGATTTATCATTGTCAGAATCTAAAACTTCTTTTATATCTGTGAAACAAAGACATTTATGTAAGTGAAACTTTTACTCTTGAATGTGGAATTCATAATATTTTTCTCTTAAAATCTACCGATGTTTCTTATTTTTACTCAAGGGCTTAAATATATATCTATTTCAAAGCTCCTGATACACGATTAAGATAGGTCAATGGACAGAGCTAAACTTTATAAAAGGTTAAAAAATGCACATACTGTAAATATTTAAATATTCTGATTCTTAGTATCTGAAAATAGAGTGTTACAATGAAAACTACTTAGCCTGTGACAGCTACTCTACACAGCAGTACCTCTATGGAAGATTCTGTACAAAATATTTTGTAGTCATAAAATATCTTAAGGCTAGTATCTTGTCTAGTTTTTAAAAAATAGCTTTTCATAAGAGGCAATGTAAGTTCCTCAGAAGGTTGGATGCAGAGTTAGCTTAATGACCCAGTAATTCCACCACTGGGAATCTATACAAGAGGGAGAAAGCATATGTCCACATAAGAACCTGTACATGAATGTTCATATCAATATTCATAATAGCCAAGAAGTAGAAACAACCCAAGTGTCCATCAACTGATGAATGGATAAACAAAATGTGGCACCATCCACAAATGGAAGACTACGCAGAAATAAAAAGGCATGACAAAATGCTGACACGGACTACGTCACGGATGACCCCTGGAAACATTATGCCTGGTCAAAGAAGCCAGTCACTATGGACCACATAATACATGATTCCATTTATACATAATGTCCAAAACAGGCAAATCCAGAGACAGAAAGCAGACTGGCTGGCTGGGACTGGAGACTGACTGCTAATGAGTATGAGGTTTCTTTCTGGGGTGATGAAAATGCTCTAAAATTCACTGTGGTGATAGCTGAACAACTCAGTGAAATACTAAAAACCACTAAACTGTACACTTTAAAAAGTTTTCTTTTAATGTTTATTTTTGAGAGAGACAGAGAGAGAGACAGACTCCAAGTGCGGGAGGGGCACAGAGAGAGAGACAGAGACAGAATCCGAAGCAGGCTGCACGCTCTGAGCTGTCAGCACAGAGCCCAACGCAGGGCTCGAACCCACGAACCGTGAGATCATGACCCGAGCTGAAGTCGGACGCTTAACCAACTGAGCCACCCAGGCGCCCCTAAATCGTACACTTTAAATGGGTAGATCATCTAGAATATGAATTATGCTCCAGTAGAGCTGTACTCATCAGAGAAAGACATGTAGTACCTCTCCTGCTGTGCAAACTAGATCCCGTGCCACCCTGCACCCCCGGCTGACCTCCACCCCGGACTCTTCTTACCTTGGTCCTTCTTCTCAGTAATCCTGGAAACATCCATTTCACTTTGGTCTGCTCCTTTTGTAGCATCTGAATCTTTTACCTCATCTTTCTCAGAATCAGGCTCTGTTTTTATTTTTTTTGGACTCCGCGGACTTTTTCTTCTATCTGATTCATCCATATTTTCATCCATGTTATTTTTGGCTGAAAAAGAATGGAGTATATAACAATTACAGGTATTCTGAATATTGGCAGTTTACTGTAATAAATCTAGTTTAGTGGAAATTATCACGTATTGTCCAGCAATTTATACTACTCTTCTAAATTAAAAAAACACAAAAGTTGAAGATAGTATATATTTTCCTAATATGCCTGGCTGACCTAAAGCATTAAAAGAATGACTGCATTTTAGATGTGCTTCAGAAGCCTTCACATATGACAATTATTTCAACCTGTCTGATGACTTCACAAATTCTTTTTTAAATTTTTTTAATAGTTTACTTATTTTTGAGACAGAGAGAGACAGAGCATGAGCAGCAGAGGGGCAGAGAGAGAGGGAGACACAGAATCTGAAACAGGCTCCAGGCTCTGAGCTGCCAGCACAGAACCCGACGCGGGGCTCAAACCCACGAACCATGAGATCATGACCTGAGCCAAAGTCGGATGCTTAACCGACTGAGCCACCCAGGTGCCCCTGACTTTACAAATTCTTTATCAGTGTTTCTAACATACTTTGTGTTAAAGAATCAGGTTAGAAGAATAAACACTTAAGTACTTTTCACCCAGATTCCACGGACAGACTTCAAAGATACCCAAGATCCACTGAAGTGAATTACAAAAGTTTGTTTCCATACTTCCCGCCCCCCCGCAACCACCACCCGGGGTAAGGAATCATAGCATTTATCACAGAAAAAAAGAGACTAAAGAGAAAAAACCAAATGCAGTATCTGGCCTTGTTTAGACCTGGGTTAGTGCCAACAGTAAAATGGCATCTCTGATACAACTGGGGTAACTGGGATAGAAACTGAGAATCTCGGGGTGCCTGGGTGGCTTAGTCGGTTAAGCGTCCGACTTTCGCTTAGGTCATGATCTCGCGGTTCATGGGTTCGAGCCCCGCGTCGGGCTCTGTGCTGACTGCCAGCTCAGAGCCTGGAGCCTGTTTCCGTCTGTGACTCCGTCTCTCTCTGACCCTCCCCTGCTCATGCTCTCCTTCTCTCCTAGAAATAAATAAAACATTAAAAACAAAAAAAAGAAAAAAAAACTGAGAATCTCAAGATGAATATGTTAAATAACGTTTGTTTGTTGACTGGATAATAGCATGATAGTTATGGAGTGTCTACTCTAACTAGGGATATATACTGTACTGGAAAATAATGTGATGTCTGGAATTTGCTTTAAATGCAAGGGAAAAGCTCTAAGAAAAAAGTAGGCAGTGACAAGTGAAAGAAGAGTAACAGAATTTGAAAACTGTTAAAGTTGAATGATGATTACATGGGAGTTCATTATTCTACTTTCTTTTTCTTTCGTGTAGTTTCAACTTTCCAGAAGGGGTAAAAAAAAAAAAAAAAAAAAAAATCAAACCCACAATATAGAACTATTGTCGAGATGAATTTTCTTAGGCCTTAGAGGCATTTTCTACCTTTTCTTTTCACTTGAACCCAAATATCCCAAGGACCTAGAGCAAGGTGTACCTATTTCTTATTTAAATAAAATGACTCCTTCCAAAAACACTGCCTAAAGGAAGGGAAAAGACTGCAAAAACCAAACTCAGTATCTGTCACAGACAGAAGGATACTGGTGAGAAAAGAAAGGAATCATAGAAAACTGTGACAGGATGTATCTGGACCCGACAGGTAACAAAAGGACAAAAAACTAAACTGATCCTCTCCTTACTCAATGCTTCTTTAGTTATTTTAGAGTAACTGGGCAATATTTTTTCAACGATTTCAAGTTGCTCATAAAGAGCTTTATAGGTCAGTTGTAGCCCCTGGATAAGGGGCTTTATAGATAGCTTTAAGATCCTGGATACTTAAATAGATAGACAATTTATAAAATGTGTGGGATTTCCTCTCCATTAAAGGTCTCCCTTACAGACTATTAATAAATGGAGCCCAGGTAGTTCAGTGGGTTAAGTGTCTGACTTCCTGATATCAACTCAGATGTGATCTGCCAGTTGTGGGATGGAGCTCTACACTGACAGCGTGGAGCCTGCTTGAGATTGTCTCTCTCCCTCTCTCTCTCTCTGACCCTCCCCCACTTGCACACACACGCTCTCTCAAAAATAAACATTCAAAAAAGACACTATCCATTACTAATCCTTGCACATTAATATCTTGACACTTATAAATTAATGTGCAAAACAAAGGCATACAGTCTGAACTGGAATGGAGGGTAGAGATAAGGGACACAGCCATCATCAAACAAGTCAAACATTCTAGTTTTCTGATGCTAAGTCAAGTGTTCCCTGAACTGTATTTTTCTCTGTCCTTTCCAACACATCTGTGCCTCTATCATATGATCAGACTAGGTTAGCCATTACTACAGGGACTAAAAGTTCTGAGATTATAAATCGGTGGTTGCTCATGCTTTCACTGTACTTCCTATTCTGCAGTTAAGTTACACCAACAATGGGCACCACTACCACCTGACAGGAAAGGCTCCGAAGATGCTAGAAGACCAACTTGGTGCCTGACTGGATAAAGGCTTGCCATTTACGCAAGAGAAACCACATGCTAAGGAACCTGGATACAAGATAAATCTGCAAAAGCCTAAATATTTTGCTTATTGATAATTTGGATTTGATTACACAAGACAAAGCAGGGTAGACACAACTAAACAAAAAGCTCTCTATAATTCTAAGTGCTACATGGGCAACTGGAGCAACCAAAGTGCAATAAAAAAATTGTAAGCCTCCTTCAGAATTTATCAAAATGGACATTTTGCTCGGATATAATCAGATCATAATAGAATTTAGTATTCGCCAAGTATGGCAAATAGAAACATTCATTGAGCATCTACTTATGTGCAAGACACGCCTAGTCCCTATAAATTCCAGTAAGCCTTAAGAAATACATATTTTTTCTGTTAAAAGGTAATCCAGTGATAACCTTATCACGTTAACAGTTTCAAATACCTAAGCAGTCTGGGATCCACCGAACCATTCACAAGGAAGCCAATTTTGTTAGCTAGGTACGCACCTAAAGGTACCTACTATCACAAAGGCTTCTTAGGAAAGAACACATCGCACCAAAGACTAGCAAACTACACTGCACAGCGAGCAGAACTACTTTTGAAAATTGCTCAGATTACAAAGGAGCGATTGCAATGCAGTATGCAAATAGGACAATGGGAGCCAGGAGACATGGGTTCCAGTCAGGATTCTCTCCCTGTGTGAACCGTATGTCACTTAGGATCTTCATGAAATAATCTGCTCAGGTACTGTGAGTTTCAAAAGATCTAGTCTCTTGGGGAACCTGGGTGGCTCATCTCTGATTGAGCATCTGACTTCAGGTCACGATCTCATGGTTTGTGAGTTTGAGCCCTATATTAGGCTCACTGCTATCCGTGCAGAGCCGGCTTTGGATCCTCTGTCCCCCTCTCTCTCTGCCCCTCCTCCGCGCGTGACCTCTCTCTCAAAAATAAATAAAACATTAAAAATATATATATATATATATATATATATATATATGGTCTCTTAGTAGAGAGGTTCCTCTCTAGAGTTCTGTGATTCTAAACACTAATAAAGTCATTTGTGAGTAGCACAAATTGAGTTAATCCCTCCTTTATGTGGAAGTGTTATTGAAGTCTCTACCACTTCCTTTGTGGTTTTGTTATGCTCTACGATGCTGAGGTTACCGATGCTGAGGTTACCGGATATGTAGCTCCTTAGGAAGTCAAGTAATATTGAATTTAAGATTTCAGAAAAACAATTAGGTGGCTGGGGACGTTTTTTCTTTTTCTTTTTTTAACAAGTTCTGTTCTATCCTCTTTCTTTAACTGAAATCCTAAGTATCACAATCCTGAGAATAAAGGTAATTTAAAATATTTTAGAGTTTAAACCAACTATATTGGTAGTTTTGCCATGTTCTGTTAAAAATTTCAGAGAATACTTTCATCTTTTTTTTTTTTATGTTTTATTTATTTCTAGGAGAGAGAGAGAGACACAGCGTGAGCAGGGGAGGGTCAGAGAGAGAGGGAGTCACAGACGGAAACAGGCTCCAGGCTCTGAGCTGGCAGTCAGCACAGAGCCCGACGCGGGGCTCGAACCCACGAACCGTGAGATCATGACCTAAGTGAAAGTCGGACGCTTAACAGACTAAGCCACCCAGGCGCCCCAATACTTTCATCTAAAATACGGTCAGTAAACTACAAATTTGTAAGAAATAGTGCAAATCAGAAACATTAATAGAGAAAAAATAATTTCCGTTACTTACTTCCTTCTAATGACTTTCTGTAGTTCACATTAGTATTGCCTGGCAATTTAGGAACAAACCTATAAACATGAGTTTTACTAATCCAGCTCCAACCACCATATCCCGTAACTCTGTATTCCTCTCCTTTTTGTTTCCAAACCTGGTGTAAATGAAAACACTCTGGTTAAACAAGAATGAGGATGCTTATAAAACACATGTGGTTTTATACATTTTTCCCAAACAAGATCCACAGTCAGGCAAATAAGTTTACCAATCAATTTTATTTTCAACAGCAATCAAACATTTATGGAAAAAAACGGAATACGGCTGAACCTTGAACGACACGGGAGTTTGCGGACTCCCCATGCAGTCAAAAACCCACATATAACTTGCGACTCCCCTAAAACTTAACTACCAATAACCTACCGTTGACCAACGCCTTACCAATAGCAAGTCGGTTAATAACACATTTTGTACGTTATATGTATTGTACACTACATTCTTTACAACAGAGTAAGCTGGAGAGATGAAAATGTTATTAAGAAAATCATAAGGAAGAAAAAAGCACACTTACAGGCACTGTACTGTATTTACTGAAAAAAACCCGTTTGTAAGGGAGCCCAGGCAGTTCAATCCTGCGTTGTTCCAGGGCTGACTAGACCCTTTTAAGCTAATATGAAAAATGTAACACAGTTTTACAGTTTTAGAACAATTTCAATCAATTAGTCTAACAGCCCACCTATATTCTACTGAGACAAACCTCTGCTTATACAACTGCCAAAAGATTTACTTCATTCCAACTATATTAAATAAAAGATTGTGTCAAAAGCAAAACAAAATTTAAGTACTCAGAGTTGCAGAATACAAATCTCAGAAATGGCAAAAACTATTTTAAAAGACGATAATAAAAATTACCTGATGTTTAACTGGAAATGTATATTTTACCCACGTGGCTTGTTGCATCGTTTCTTCCTCTTCTTGTTTTTTCTCTTTCTTCTTGACTTTCTCCTTTTCTTCTCTTTCAATTGATGTCATCCTGTGTAACCTAAAATAGATGAACAGAGAGAACTGCATTTGACTTTGAAAAATAAATTAAAAAGATAAAAATACAGTACTGCAAATTAGGAAGATAGAATCAAAGAATGGTTAGCTATAATCCCGCAACCCACACAACCCCAACTCACAAAAATCAGTGGATATACACTTCCGTAACATGAAACAGCAGGAAAAGGCAAAACTATGCCACCCTTCCCATCTGTCCCCCAATAAGAAATATACTCACTTATGGCTTATTCCTGAAACTATTCATATATACACCAACATATTTACACAAAAAGGATATTACATTACAACAATTGTACAGTTTTTAATCAATGAATAAGTGCATTAGAAGATCTTTCCATATACCAGAAGATATGGATCTTCTTAAAGAATTAAATAACACACTGCTGAGCGAAATAAGTCAGGCAGAGAAGGACAAATATCATATGTTTGCACGTATAGGAGGATTAGGAGGAACTTGACGGAGGAACAAGGGGGAGAAGAAGGGGGAAAATGGCGGGGGAAAGGGAGAGAGGCAAACCATGAGAGACTCTTGAATGCTGACAAAAACTGAGGACTGATGGATGTAGGGGGGGGTGGGGGGATGGGCATGGAGGAGGGCACTTGTGGGGATGAGCACTGAGTGTTATGTGGAAACTAATTTGACAATAAACTATTTGTAAAAAAAAAAAAAAAAAAGAATTAAATAACACACACCACTGCGTGGACATACTGAAGAATACATTATTTCCTTCCCCCCGAAAAGACCAACAAATCCAAAAACCTACCAGCTAGTATTTCTAGTTCTGTCTAGCACTGGGCGGTTTAAAGCGTTTACACTAATGTAGAATTTAGACTTTTTACATCCACAGAGAAAAGGGCCGACAAGGCTCCTTCTTTTGGGTAAGAGGAAGGACTTGGAAGGAAGGACCACACTGCTGAGGCGTCAGTCACTGAACAGGGCATAGGCCACACTCTTTTTTTCAGGATGGGAAATGGTATCACTGCACCCAGTAATAAGGAGACAGTTAGGCCTGTGGAGACGCTCCATATTAAGATGATTAGACTGGAGGGGCTCCTAGGGGGGACTCAGTGGGTTGAGCGTCTCATGGTTTGGGCTCAGGTCATGTTCTTGTGGTTTTGTGGGATCAAGCCCCACACTGGGGTCTGCGCTGGTAGCATGAAGCTTGCTTGGGATTGATTCTCTCTCCCCTTATCTGCCCCTCTCCCACTTGTGCAGTCTCTCTCATTCAAAATAAATAAACTTCAAAAAAAAAGGTGATTAGACTGGATTTTTGTGAATGGGAATATTCCCCATCAACAAGGACGTTGGCCAAAACCTATGAAGAGAGGAGCCTGTCTCTGAGGCCTCGGGCGGTAGGAAAATTGCTTTATTAGACCCTACCCAGATGTAGCCAATTCTGCATGCATTACTTTGTGGAAAAAAATAGAGATCTTTTGTCAGTATGAGGGACAAGGTGCTAGAAAGATAGGAGAGGGGATTTAATCCTTTTGATCTCTATCCGCCCACCAGAACTCCCTATTTATCTCCACTTCAAGACAGCTTTGTGTCCCTGTGAACACAGGATCCTAGACTCTAGGCTACCGCAGGCCGAGAGCTCAGGTGTTACTAGGCGCCCAACCCTAGAAAAGCATTCTTCATTCTCTCACGATTGACGGAAGGAGAGGAAAGGGAGCAGATTCTCACCGGAGACTAACTTCCTCGAATACCATGCATCTGCCACTACTCATGGAACCGGGGAGCGGGGCAAGCTCTGGAGGCGCAGCACGGTGGACAACCTGGCAGCGGCAGCCTGCCCAGGGGAGGGACTAGGCCAGGATCAAGCAGTATTTCTCAACAGAGTTTCTGTGTAAGCTTTCCAACTCTCTGCAAGTTCAGGTCTGACACAGCAACTAAACTGCCTTCGCCGACAGTGGCCGGGAACAGAGTGCTGTGTCGGGGGAACGGCGGTGCAGCGACTCTCTGGGGGCTCATGGTGGGGCTGGGTGCTCAGCCAGTGCTCTTGTGTTCACATGGGGAACAGGTCCACTTTCATCACCAAATACAAAAGCTCCATTCTGTAGAGGACGCCAGGCCAGTGAGGCGGTACTGCAGCTAATCTGAGATGTAACCTACTCGACTGAATTCTACTGCTCTCACTGCCACCAAACAATCCCTAGGTTTTGGCAGCAACAACGGTGAGCTCTGAAGGAGTTCAAGTCCATCTGGCTGGGCAGAAATCTGGGCTACTGCTGGCAGCCCGGGGCCCCAGGAAGGAAGAAGCCCCATGAGGCTGGCAGTGTGAAGCCTCTAGCTGCCGCTCCACAGGGGAGTCGCACTCCAAGGGGGTGACAGGTGCCTCTCCCGTACCCCCATGGTTGGACTGAGAGCCTGACCAGGAGTACGGACCAAGCTTCAATCCCACTCCTAATCTCCAGGGTCATGTTGTGCTTGTTTTGCTACTGCACACAAAGCCATAATAAACAACACTTTATGTCTTTCCTGTAAACTTGGAGAATGGCCCCCGTGGTCCCCAGTGGTGGGAGAGCTAAATCCAACGGTCCTTGCACTTAACATGCTGGCAAGTAAAGCTACATTGTTCTTCAGAACTGTACACTTCACGCTGCTATCAGCTACAAATGCTTTTCCATACCTTCACTCAAGTTAGTAACAAACTTCTAAATGATCAGCCCAATTGAAAGATAAGAAATGATATCCCACTGTTTTGATTTACAGTTCTTTAATTGCAAGAGAAGTAAACATTCTTTTAATGTCTACTGGCCTTTCATATTTATTTTTCTGCAAAATGCCTGTTCAAATCCTTTGTCTTGTCTGTACTGGGCTATTAGTCCTTCTCACTTATAAAAGATCTTTGTCAATTAAGGTAACTTTCCATTTGTAGTGCAAATATTTTTCCTCAGTTTGTCATCTGTCTTTTGAGTTTGATTACATTATTATTTTTCCACTCAGAATTTTAAATACACATATCCACTTTTTTTCCTCTATGGCATCTGGGTTTTATATCTGTTTAAAAAGAAAGTATCACAACAAAAACATAAATTAATCCATGGTTTCTTACTAAAGCTTTTTGGTTATTGTTTTTTTTTTAAAAAATCTCCATTTATCTGAATGTTTTTGCTGAGGCAGGGAGCTAGCTGATATTTTCTAGGTCCTCCTTCCTTCTCTGACATGCTATCATTGCTAGATGCTCATATGTGTTTAGGTCTATTTCTAGATTCTGTGTTCTACTCCACTACCCTAAAATCTTATTTTTTATTTTAGCTTCAAAAATGTTCTAATATTCAGGCACCTTAGCAGCTCAATCGGGTAAGTGTCCAACTCTTGATTTCGGCTCAAGTCATTATCTCATGGTCCTGAGGTCAAGCTCTAAGTTGAGCTTTGCACTGAGCATGAAGCCTGCTTGGGATTCTCATCTCTCTCTCTCTCAATTTCAATCTCTGTCCCCCTCCCCTACCACCATGTTCTCTCTCTCAAAATAGTAAACATTAAAAAAAAAGTTCCAATATCTATTCCTTTCTTTGCAATACCTACTTCCCTTTTCTTCCAATTCATTTTCCTGGAATGATATATTAATATCATTTTGATCAAGTTTGTCTGCCCCCCAGGGAGGGAAAACTTTGGTAGATTAACATAATTAACATAATGCATGGTTTTAGAAAATATAACATACATATCTAAACATATATCTTTATCTTTTTGTTTACTGAGTATCCTTTCTATCTTTAGTAAAGTTTTAATGATTTCTTTACATGGTCCTAAATATTTCTTGCTAAATTTATTCCTAGTTGTTTGAGTTTTTGGTTGTTATGGGGATCTTTTACTATAATTTAAAAACTATATAAAACGTAACCAGGTTAAGAAAGAGAACTTTATCAATAACCAAATACATCCGAAGCTAGTGTGTCCCCAGTCCCAGGCAGTCATTATCTTGACTTTTGGGTTATTATCCCCTTGTTTTTCTTTATAGTTTTGCCACCCATGTGTATATGCCAAACAGTATAAAGTTTGGCTTTTGAAAACTCAGTAGCAAGAATAAAACTAGCTGCGTAAGCAAAAGAGCAATACTGTTACTATTAAAAGAAGGTTCCCGGGAAAAAATAAACCTGTCTCTGGGTCACAGTTTACAAGAGCCTCTTCTGGTGAGATCCGTGAGTAAGGGCATGGGTAAGGCCTGGAAGACCTAGGCTCACCACACTCAGGGTCATCCGGCAGCGCTGTAAGCAGGTACGGATCCAAAGCGCGCTGCTCTGGACTTCCTGCTTCTGTGCCTTTTGATTATTCTATGGTATAACTTATGAAAATTCTCAGCTCTCCCCACTGACTCAGGATATGGCCCTCTTTGGCAGGTTATCATCTGTCTACCTGTATTATTGCTTCCATGGTCTTACTGGTGCTTTATTCTCTGTTGTTCCTCTTTTCTCTGTGGGTTTATGCTTTAAAAAAAAAAAAATCCTTTGCCATAGTTTCTGTGGAGGTAGGCAGGGAACAAAATTAAATGTGTTTATGCAATTTGTTATTTTAACTCGGAACTCCTATGGTATTTTCTACATGGTTACTGTTACATAAAATGTATTGTTCAATATGGCAGCCACCCCAACTCAATTTTCTTGGGGTTTCTAAGTATCTAATTAGGTCAACTGCATATAATAATTATGACTATCTGCCAACATGTACATACATACACATATACACACACATATATGTATACTTTCTTTTGACAAACTCTATCAGTTAATACTTTCTTTAAGAAAAGTTAAGAAGAGGGGCACCTGGGTACTGAGTCAGTTAAGCGTCTGACTCTTAATTTTGGCTCAGGTCATGATCTCACAGTTCGTGGGATTGAGCCCCACACAAATTTCCACACTGATAGCACCAAGCCTGCTTGGGATTCTCTCTCTCCCCCTCTTTCTCTGCTCCTCCCCCACAGCCTCTTTCTGTCTCAAAATAAACTTAAAAAAAAGAGAGAGAGAGAGAGCGCGCGA